AAGGAAGGTATCAAATCGCTCTCTATCACGATCGTTACTGGCCATTGCTAAAGTCTGAGCAGAGTCAAGAACATATCGAGCAGAAGTCATCTCCGAAAAGAATGTCAAGATTATTTTGATTCCCCCATATGCTGATGCAAGTCTCGCTGGTCGGTCTCGAGGTGATGAAGTTTTTGAGTGCTCTAACGGGGCCAACGCTTTAACTTCTTGGAGAAATATATCAGCTATTTCTTTCATTTTCTGTATGCCATTTTGCCTCTTGAATGCGACAAGAATCATCGTCAGGCACTGAGAGTGTGTGCGCTCGGTAGCTAATATGGTTGTTAGAGGTTTCAGAGGTTTCACTAGTACACATAGTAATTGGAAGGTGAAACTTACAATCAAATATCAATCGCGAGAACGATGACAGTATCACAATAAGATAGGAAAACCGATCCTTCGTGGATACACACTCATTAGGTCCTTTGAGCTCCAACTGTTGAATTACCATAGAAGCAATTGCGCCAGCAACCACAGCTGCTTTCTGTCGTTGGTAGGTGTCCACGCGCCGTTTTGCCACAAGACCACGGCCTAGAGAGTGCAAAAATCCCGTTATGCAAGTAGGGACCGTTCCTAACAGCCAGCGAAGGGTCTTAACGTTCTTCACGTTTGCCCCTTTATCCAACTGTGTAGAGGCAGGATTGTCGACTTTAGGAGATTTCTTAGCTCGGCCGCCCAGTGCTGTCGGCGTGTCTTCAGCATGAGACTCGGCAGCAATATCACCTACTTCAGATCCTCCGTCTGCTGTAGTGACTGGTGGGGTTTCTCGACCTTCACAGCTAAATCCAGGAAGCTTAGTGACCTCATTCCATGCCTCAGGCATATTTTGCTGGAGTAGTATCTCTTCCCAAACACAAGCAGCATGCAGCCGTCCCAAACGCTCGGCAATTAAGGCATACTTATCAGCAAGATTAACCTGGTGAAATGGCAGTGGCTGCTGTGCTGGACGTGTAGGGTATATTGGCGGAGTATAGACTTCACGGAGAATATTGGTCAATGTTCCAACCGCAACAAGGTGCTTGGCATAATAAGTTCCTTTCGTCTTTAATTCTACCTCTTCAGGGCTAGACTCGAAGGCTTGAAGAGGGCTTGTCAGGGGGGAAAAGAAGCCCACTGATCCCAGATCGCTGGACCAGAATGGCTCAAGCTTATCGAGGGCGGAGAGGGTACGGTCGAGAAGGGGTGGAAGTACTAGGTGAGGTTTTGTCTCTGCCATAAGATGGAGGACTTGAGCCAGTTGGTGGTTCGCTTCATTGTTATGGAAGCTAAAGGGCAAGGACTGGAGGACAGCGAAATCGAGGACATATTCTACCCCTCCGTTTTCTATAAAATTGGCGCAAATAACCTGATTCTCGAAGAATGCACCCAAGAATTTCAGTACTGGAAAGATATAACCCGTGACAGCAAGGCCATCCGCATCAGAATCCTTGGCAGTCCACTTGCTAGTGTCTGGTTCCCCAAAGAGCTCTCGATAGCTAGTGCTGGTGCTACCTAGGTTAGGAACGGAGGCACTAGGCCAGTAATCTTCATTCTGAAAAAAATCAGAGCAGAGATCACCGATAGCAGCAGATACACCGCCAGAAATAGATTCCTTTCCATCTTGGTCCTCAACCCAGAGTTTCGCTCCTAGCCCCGATTCCCATGCCTTGTACTTGCCAAGAAGTCCGACACGGGCAACCATGCGCAGAACAGAGCTCATGACTGACGCCTTCAAAGCTGGGTGGTGTCTCACTAGTTCATCGAATGAATTTCCCAACAGTCGAAGCAAATTTGAGTCATTTTTCATACATTTCACGTGTACAGGACTTTCGAAAATATCGAAAAATCTTTCCAGTGCGTCAGATGACTGGAATAGATCAAGTCCGGTTGAATTCAAACATATTGCCCCAAATGCCAATGGTATACCGACAATAGCTTCTGTTGAGGGTAAGATTCCATCAGATCCCTTACGCTCTGGAGCCTTGGAAAGATGGTCCAGGAGATTCCTATTGTCCGATGAAGTAGATGCAGGGTTGAACAAGTTTTGGGGTTTGGCAGGTTTCTTATCCCCTTCAGCCGACTCTTCCGGAACTTCTAGCGGTTTGCACATAACGGCTTCGAGGAAGCTTTTGCTGAGTCCGGCTTCAGCTATGACGGCATAACTGGTAGGCTCATTGTGGATGAAGTGGCTCATAATGTTAATGGAGCCGCTCCATACATGCGAGCCAAAAGTCTTTGCATTTTCGATAACAAGGCGAAGTGCGCTAAGAAGAGGAGGGGAATCTATGAAGTTGCGGATCAAACGTTCAAACCCGCCGCTATTATGTTGCATTACATGGTTGACAAATTTGAACAACCATCGTATTGCCTGTTGTTGAAAATAGGGTATGGAATAATCGGTAGATGGAGTTTTAAATTCTTCAGAAATCCCTTTACACTCACCCACCATATCAAATGCGGATTTTGTCTCGGTTGCAATAAGGTCAGATATGGCATCGAAGCCCTTTGCAGCCGCTAGAGTTGCCAAAGCATCTCGAACCGAGTGGACATAGTTGTCGAGGAACTCTAAGACTCTGGGATATACTCTTCGAGCCTTTTCTGTTCGAAGATTTAACATATCCACAAACATGGGGATCAGACCAGCGGGCATCAATGTTTCCGGGGCTCTTGTTCCGGAACTTGGAAGGGTTCGAAGAAGACCAAATAGGGCATCGCGCCAGTCATCTCCCTCAATGTCATCAACTAGGGCATCTTCCGCCGCCAGTTCGGTAACGGTTTTCCGGACCAGAAACATTAAAATGCCATGGTTGACATTTAAATTCAAGGCAGCACAGACGTCCGCAGATCGCGTCTTATGCTTAGCTAGAGCATCTAAACACGTCAGGGCGAACGACTGGTTCAACGTAGATGCGCTGATATCGCCAGCAACCCCGAGATGCACGAAGTCAGACAGCTGGTAAGCTAGCTGGAGGCGTTTGGGTTCGTCGGAGTCTTGCTGGAGAATTTTCTGTTGGAATATAGCTTCCGGGTAAATATAAGCCAAATTACTGAGGGCAAGGAGTCTAATGCCGAGTAGTTGCCTTCGAGTCTCAGGAGACTTGGCGAGAGCAGCAGCTATTCGAAGTCGATTCAAGAGGTCATACGCCGACTCCTTTGGCAAGTCGCCCAGGTTTTCCTTCAAAAGTTCTTCCGTACTGGTAGATAGAACTTTAGAGTTTGGAATCTCCAATATTTTCATTCCTCTAGTACCCTCTTGTCTCATTGTTGGTGATTGAGTTGTGGGTGTTGGAGAGTCATCCACGCTTGAGGTATAGAGCAACCTTGAGCTTTGATACTCTGAAGATCTGTGATGCAATGGTGTCGGCGTCATTTGAACCTGAGCGGAGGTATGTAAAGTGCTGCCCGATGACTCTGCAGTAGCATCACGTGGATAATAAGCAAATCGCACCGTTCCCCAATCTTTCCATTCAGCAGTGCCAATCTCGGCTGCTGGGGAAATATCTGTCATCGTAATCTTGTCAGACGGCACTTTAGTCAGCGAAATCAAGTCGTTGGCATTGCATTTATCACCGGCTGCCGCACTTGGTTGAGCAGACTTGTCCTTCCCTTTTTCCAACGAAGTTCCTTCGGCAGTCTCAATGAATGAAGGTGGGCGTGGGAAAGGTGACGCCAGTTTTTGGACACGGTCCAACTCAATGTTATAATGCGCCGCCAGTAAGCTTTGATGGAAGTGGGTGCTGCTGGTAGATCGTTGGCGGAAATAGTATCGCTGTGCCAGACAGAGAGACAGCCGGAGAGTGCATTGAATTAGACTGAGCGATGTTGAGTTTAAAAAAGCATTCAAACGCTCGCTGCTGCTGAACAAGCTGCGGTTGCCACACTTCTCTAATAGGAGCCGTGAAAAGTCCAATATTGACTCTACTAGCTCTCTATCACCTTCAGGCCCTAGCCCCAGTTGGTCAAGTTTCCGTTCGCCCTCCTCATCATTAGAAACTAGGCTTGTAGAAACAGAATCTTCGATGAGAACAAGTCGACCAAAGGGCTTCGACTGAGGGCCCTCATCTAGTCCATATTTCGTGACGACAAGCGCCAATAGCTCGTCAAATCGATTCAACACACCAATCCAGTGATATAGGTCCCCCCGCGGAAACGGCCACTGGCGAGGAAATGTTGCGAGGTACGAGGGTAGTTCGGCGATAGAAATCTCAATAGCTTTCTTAGAAAACTGAGCTATAGCCGGCGACTACAGAAGGTGGGATATCATGTTAGCACCAGCACGAACCGAGGCGGGTTAGGAAGCTTAGGTGGAGAGCCGAATAACTTACAATCGTAGCCTCATGCTTAGAGCTAGCCACCTTCTCAATTCTCCCCATGATGATGGCGTGCCGTACCGGCAACCATGTGAAATAAAAAAGAAACTATCAGGTTTTTGTTGAATTCAGGCTCAGTGGATTCGGCTAATTTGGTTTCCTTTCACTTTTTCCGGTAAGAGTTTGAGGGGAATAAGCGAAACGTCGAACTCTTCGAAGTTGCAGTTCTGGTGAAGTAGCAGACTAGTTACTCGAAATACAGACTGTCTCTTATAAAGAGTGAATGGATATTGAGATGACGGTTTGATTTTGGTAGGGTTGATGATGTAGGTTGGTGGTGAGGTGGGTTGTGACGAAGTAAATTGTTTTAACACAACGGGTAACAGTTGAGGCAAAGAATAGGAAGACGAGTGCAGGTCGTCGTCCTATGGCTTTGCACACAAGCTTCCGTAATGGATACTTCGTAACTTGGGTGTGAGGGAGTCGAGATTTTTAATGTTGTTTGTTGTAGTTCTTTTGGAGTTGAGTTGCGAAGTGAGAGGGTAAAATAATCGCCATACCTATTGCATTAGATAAGCACGCGCTTCGGAGCTTTGGCCATTCCAATTTTGCTGCCCGCCCGCTCACGCGGAACGGCATTACTTTCTGCCGGTCTAATAAGCGCTCCGGCCCGCCAATGGCCCGATGTCTGGTGGTCACATACACGACGAAATACAGGGATTTCAATCATTTTTGGATAGGTAACTAATGATAAAGGATTGAATGTTAAGTCTATATCTTGAAAATAAAAGAAAAGGACTCCAGGCTTCTTATCCATCCCTTCAAAAAGTAATAAGATCCTACCATACCCCAGGAAAATCAGCATCCCAATCTTTCATCGTCATAATCGTCATAAGGTAGTATTCTAGTTCTTAGCCGTTTGCTCCCCTTTGATTGGCGGCAGACTTCCATCCCATTGTACCTTCATTGAGACTGGGAATGGCGAATAACAGCTTTGGTCCTCAGGCATATATAGCGTTAGGCCAGCTGGTCCAGGGGCTGTCTTGAGATGACCTTGCGGTCCTGGTGTACGTCGGAGGGCTTCTAATTGGCAGAAGACCTTCAACATTGAGGTAAGAGCAAGATTACACATCTCGGCACCAAGACATGTATGAGGGCCATATCCAAAGTGAATATAAGATCCTAGACTTCGAGTGAGGTCGACTTTGGTGGGGTTTGGGAAAACTGTCGGGTCCATGGACGCAGTAACCTTATCAAAAAAAAATCCCTCGCATCAGATGCCTCACGTTCCAGTATAACCATCACGCAGATTAATCCATAAGGACTTACCAAATTACATGCAACCCGTTGACTGGGTTTCAATAGTATATTCATGTCACCGTCTTGGACTTCGGTCGTCACTGCAACGTCGCGATAGAGAGCAACGACAGATTTCATCCTACACCCTTCTAAAACACTTACAGAATCGTTAGTTTACGAAATAGGATAAAGTCCACCAGTTAACTTACTATCGAAGAAGGATATCATCGGCCTCTGGAGTATCGAGTTTTGATAGCCTCCGAATCTCTGGCAGATGCACAGTGCCTTCTTTAGAAAGGTAGTAATCCAGGCACTGCGAAGAAAGCTGCCCTTGATTCGCAACCATACCGCCAGCGGTAGGCAAGAGATGCGACCAGACAATATCCTGAGGTGGAAGACCTGTATCCAGCAACCGCTGGATCATATGTATACCATAGTCAGCGAGGATATTGTCATGTCTATCAATTCGATCAATCAGAGGTGCCAGGAACCCGGTTCTCTTGATTAGCTCAACGTTTGTCATCACAAGTCGACCCAGAGTCTGAGATTTTTCCCGCGCTGCCTCATGAATAGCAAAACTTTTCGCCGGGTCAGTGTCACAGAATATGCATATGAAAACAAGTGCCATGATGTCATAGAGTTCCTTTTCAGTATAAACGCCTCGTGGGTTCTCCTCGGTCTTCAAGGGCAGAGAGAACACTGCAGCGCAGAAATGAACATGTGCCATGTTTATAACATCACGGACAATATCTACTTGGTTGATAGTGCCACCTAACTTGTATGCCTTGCTGTGGAGAAGTTTTAGCGTAGTATCCTTATAGAAAGCCCTAACTTCTTCACGCCAACGATCAATATAGAGGGCGTCATGCAGTATCCTTCTGGATACTGAATTGGCCGGACGATCCCCTGAAAGCATGAAGTCTTTACCGAATGGACGCCCATCTCGCTTCATCAAGTATTCGATGGTTTCACCCCAGGTAACTTTAAAATCCCTCTTATTTCGAAGGATAGCTCGGCAAGCAGAGTGAGAATTGATCATAACAGGCGGGCTCATCCTTCCGGGCTTGTCCCAGGAGTATTTCTGAGCAATTCTCAAGTCAGAGAGGATTTTCGAATTTTCCCAGGGGGTAACGAATGGGAAATGAGCGTAGACGGAATTGCGTTTGAAATGATGAGGGAAAGCTCTGAAGATAAGTTTGTGGAACACATGTCCCTTATTGACCTTGAGGTCATAGTTGCATTCGTTCAAGCCCCAGTTGGTAAGGGCCTTAGGGGTATAATCAGTAGTGTAAAAGCGGTCTCCACGAACGAGTGCAACTGCATCCGAGAGAATAGCGCGAGAGATTGTGAAATTGGGGCATAGCCCGCTTCCCGGAATCATCACTTCTTTTACCTCCTCGACAACGACACCAGGGTAAAGTTCAACATTATCAGGATGATCGTAAAGATGCCTCAGCTGGTCAGCAATATATGGGTCCGAGTTGATATCTTCGAATGTCTCGTGCGGTTTGAGATGGAAATGTTTCCTAAATTCATTGAGGGTTGCTAAGTTCCACGATCTTGCTTGCATAATTCCCAGAATCTCAACAGGCCGTAGGAGTTTTGGTACGCCCTTGGCACCAAAAGCCCCAGCGCAGTCCTCGATTCCCTCAGTCAGCATCTGAACAAGTTCATCGTCGTTAAACAGGCCGTCAGGTCCGCGTTTAAGGTATCCTAACCCCCGTTTTTGAGGGTCATCCGGGAGATTCGCGCTAAATTTTCCCAGATTTCGAAGAAACTCTTCTGTGGGAATAGTTTCAGGGTTTCTCCCGGGAAATATCTTGCGAAATATATTTTCTGACCATTTGACATCACGCTCTGAAATACAAGCATGCCATCTGTAGATGAGATTGAATTCCACGGAAACCTGGTTTCCTGTTGCAGAGGCGATTGGGGAGCCTAAGAAGGGCTTTGCATTCTCTGCTCGCGGATCAAGACTCCAATCGCTATCGATACGGTTGATATTAAGGATTGTTCGCACATAGTCCTTTAGGATGCAGTTGATATATAGTCCACAGGTGGTCAGACGACCGGTCTGAAAAAGATCGTTGTCGTATTTGGCAAATGCCTTCGCATCTCCATCCTGGGGCTTGGAAAACCTGCCTCCTTCATTGATGGCAGCCAGGTTGCGGACCACGTGGTTGTGAAAACGGTTGAACATGACAAGTAAAAGCCCAGAGCCAGGGGGGAGCCCATGTACCCTCCTTTCGGCAAAGCTGTCAGGCTTCAACTTCCCGTCTTTAAAGGTTCTTACACTGTCTTGCTCTGCCTGATTTGATCCATATAAAGGAGATAAATCAAGATATGACGATGTTTTAGAAATGGTGGGGTTCCGTGGATCAGTTTTGAATAAGTCTTTGGATGGTATTAGAAACATCTAGAACGTGATGTATACAGCGCGGGGAGACCTACCATGAATGATGATTGAAGCGAGATAGAATAATATGCTGGAGATCTGGCTAGGGTGGGGTTCAAATCTCTCCCGGGCCATGAGTGAGTCAAAAAGAGCCCCCGGGTCTGGAAGGTTGACTGGTTGTACAGATTTTGGCTGAACAGTCTTTGCATAGCTCGACCCAGCAGCCCCGACACCTGGGCGGAATATGTTCTATACCACGAGTTAATAATCAAATAACTCAAATATTGAAATGTCTGGGATATTCTTACATTGTAAGATCCGTCCGCAGTTCGATACATGTATTCAAGGCCAACTAGTCTATCAAGTGCGTTAGTACTTTAGAGTGTAGATGTGTCTTGAAACACAACCTTACGTGAGTGGGGGGTGCTGTAAATCATTCCATAGTTGAGAGAGCAAGTCTTCTGTTAACGCGCTGCCATTCTTAGATGTGCTAGGTAGGGATGCTGCCAGCTGTTTCATTTATTCATCAGCACAATAAGTTCCCTAATCAAGCTATATAAGACACATCGTACCTGGATAATCCTCTCCATGATATAACGTTTATCATCAATTAGTTGGCCAGTCGCGGCTAGCTTAGCAACTTCTGCGAGTGTCCCTGCATCCCCTAGCTTCATGTGGGCAAGGTCATCCAAAATACCGGTTGTATGTGTCGTTGGAAGATAGGTACCATCCCCGGACGCAACAGGTAATGGGCGCAACGAAGCACTGATAGCTCTACTAACATCCGAAACGCCCTTTTCAATCTCCTCTTGGAGAGTCAGGGGTTCACCAACGTCGCCCATGGCGGCCTGTGTATGATAAGGATGAGCACTCCCTAGATAAATACCTAGGAGAAATAGGAGCAAGTAGTTATTGAGGTCGACGAGCGAAGGGCTCTGAGGCCAGGTCTCAGCGAAAATAGGTTGAGAAAGCCAGAAGAATAATAATAGTAATAGCAATAATAATAACAATAAACGGATATCAAGGTCTAGAGAATGCGGGTATTAAGATAGAGGAACGGTGAATATGAGAAAGCATCCTAGTCACATTGTTATATTTTCCAGACCTCCATCACTATCGGCAATAATAACTCGAAATCTGGCGCAAAAGCAGATGAAGACGTGTCTGGAAGGAAGATCCCGTGGACTTGAACCCAGGAAAGAGCAAGTGACGGTTAGTTCATAATCAAACCCCCATCGTTCTTGTTGGTGGTGGGAAGCTAGGTGCTATTTCTCTGCTGCAAAAGGTAAGAAAGAGTAAGAGGGAGAGGTTTCTAGAGTTATTGCTTTTGGATGCGCGACTTGCTGGGCTGGCAAATGCATTTCCAACCCTTGGTTCGGCTTCTGGTGCAAGCATCAAGCTACAATAAATCTGACAATACAGATGACTAGCGAAAGTGTTTGTAAAACACGGCTAAAAAAGCAAAAATCTAAGTAATGGAGAACCAAGAGAAAAAGCGTTCACAAGCACAAGCTTTGATGGGTTAGCGTTTCTGTATCAGATAGGTCCGGGAATGCTTTGGATTCTATCCTGTGTCATTTTATTGGTGCGCTGAAAGACCTTGTATGCAAGACTGCCATCCATGTAGCCAAGCTGGGAACGGACTTGTTTCTGAGGAGGTTGTAGTATACGGTCCATGAGTGGTGGGTAAGCAGGCAGCGTGTTTGAGCTTTTACCTGCTTGGGAGAGAGCACAAATACAAAAGCCTAGTTAGCATTGATGTACGCAACTTGGACTGCAAACGAGGGGCCATCATGATACATTTCAGGCCCGGCTTTATCACTCTCTGTGCAAACAATTACCCCTGCAGCGCAGCAGGCTTCTTTGAGTTCACGAGCATCCAAGCACGCGTCCATAAAATATCACTCTGGTCCTTGTACTCGGAATCTCTGGTACGTCCAAAGAACAAACGATATTGTTGAAAAATGGACGAGATGGTTGGGGAGCGCTGGATCTCCTGTGCAGTTAGTTAACGAGCAGGCCAATCATGGAGGTAGATTGGTAACGAGACAGCTGCAGGACAGAGCGTGACCTTCGCTTTGATAGAAAATGACCAGCAACTATGATCCCGCAGAGCCCTGTCCACGCAGCACACTATGGCTCCTGAAAAAGAAACGAAGAAAAAAAGCGAGTCAGTGAGAAAGCAAAACGAAAAGATGAAGACGGAGAGCTGAAAGATGAAGATGACGTCGAAGTTGAGGTTGGCTGTTTGCCTAAACGGGACAAGATGCAGGTCGCGATGCTTATGTCATGCTTACTTAAGAAACCGTATTTAGACCATGCAGGCGTCGTTTGTATATGCAGAGCGGCATTGCGCAGAAGAAGAAAACAGCCTGAAAAACGGCTATGTAATGTAGTAAACATCAGCTTAGATTTTCACCCCTCAATGAAGCGATTTAACCAAAGCTCAAGAATCCTTTTTACGCAAAGTAGCCTGACGTAGTCATGAATCAAGGGTGACCCAGATGAGCACGTGATGATTGATCTTACATAATCACTAACCTCCAAAGCTCCTGCATCCTTTTTGCAACTTCACGATCAACAGCAAATGCGATGAAACCTTGAAATATTTTCCAACTCCCCACACCCAGCGCAATACCTACTAGTAAACGGTGATTGGTACCTGGAGACATGGCAAGCCAAGGGATCTTGCTAGAGGTCAAGCCGAGAGGTAAGCAATGCTCGCAGCCAATGCTTCCATTCCCCCCTCATCGTGGCCAATGTCCAGCATCCAGCATATTCTACTATTTACATTTCAAGGTACAAGCTCACTAATCCATCTTGTTTTACTCCCTTTAATTAGGCAAGCCCATACCCAAACTTCCTGGAACAATATCAATTGGTCCTGAGGATAGCCTTGCCGCGCTTTATTCCACGATTTCTAGGCGAGCCGGTTTCCCGGTTACCCGGCTTAGAATCACCAAGGGCAGCGATGGTAGTCTCCTGAAAAACGACACCCGTGTTACAGTGTCGAGCACTGGAGTCAGAAATCAGAGTGTCATCTATGTTAAAGATTTGGGTCCGTTGGCTGCCCTCCATATCCTCACATCTTTGTGTAAAGGTACCAGTGCTAATACCAGGTAAAAACAAACAGGACCTCAAATAGGATGGCGTACAGTCTTCATTATCGAATACTTAGGACCCCTCATCATTCACCCACTGGTTCTCTATGGCCTACGACCTTACATATACCGAAGTCCTAAGCCACTACCTCCTATATCTGACCTGCAGGCCTTGACCTGCACCTTGCTGACACTCCACTTCATTGATTAAAGTATGGAGCTAATGAAAAAACAGTTGAATAATCTAAATTACCAAAAGATCATATTATTATGAACATACCTATAGTTACTGGCTCCTTGGCGGTGTAAATCTCGCATACTGGGTATTCTCGCCTTCGTCGCCAACAGCCACTGACCACCCTAACCCAGCTAATAAATATGAAGGCCTGGCACTCTTCCTCATAGGTCAGCTGTCCAACCTCTCGACCCATCTCACATTGAGAAGCCTCAGGAAACCAGGTAGCACAGAGCGCGTGATACCTACTGGCTTTGGCTTCGATTGGGTGACGTGTCCAAACTACCTCTTCGAAGTGATGGCCTGGGTCGGGGTGTACCTTGTTAGCGGGCTAAACTGGAGTGTCCTACTCTTCCTAGTGGTGGGCGCCGGCACCATGATGAAGTGGGCTAGCCAAAAGGAGAAGCGATACCGTCGTGAATTCGGGGACAAGTACAAGAAAAAGCGCTTTGTTATGCTGCCCGGTCTCTGGTAATCTAGGTGCGCTAGCCTAGCCGGTACTTTCTTCCTTGCTTCCCCTTGTGAATCCTACTGGAGGATGGTCATTCCCGGCAAGCACCTGCCATCACTGCTACATCTGTATGGAGGTGCACAATATGTAGTTCGGGATGCACAACTTCCGGCGTTTGTGAAACCCGAAGCCTCCGCTGCATTCACCATTATCATGCCACAAGACTATCAAGGGCGTTATCTTAGCCTTACTCCTTACTTGATCATAATTGCATATCTTAGGACCTAGTCTAGTTGCATAGGACCCAAAAAAAAAAAAAAACCTCGCTATTTTTAGTTTAAGAGTTCAATCTGATTCCAAGCTCCGATTGACCGGGCCGAACCGTCCCCATCACCCCGTCAGTAACATCCTGTTTAAATACCCCTACCTAACAATACCCCTACCTAACAATACCCCAGCCTGGTTCACGACTGCTGGGTTGATCTAGTGACAGGAGATCGACTAGGTGATGATAACTTGTGGTAATGAAATCGAGATCTGCTAGAGTGGATCGATCAGTGCTGGCAAACTTGGATACTAGTCCCTACATTCTGTGGCTAGGGCTTTAGACTAGAGGCTTAGAGGGTTATTCCCCATCAGCTAGAAGTTACGAAAGGTATCCAAATTTACCAGCACATAACAAAGGAAAACAAGGATATAACAAGAAAGCATAAGAGACGTCTATCTCATCCAAGGCTACCAGCCTGCGGGCGAACCCCTGAGCATAACCATACTGTTACATCAAAGCAAAAAGAAAAACGGGGAAAGATGACGTAGTTATATGATAAAAGCCGATCCGACACGGTAAAAATTAGAAATGAAAAGGGTGATGAAGGGGGAAAAAGAGGAACAACGTGTTAAATCAAGGAAGATACGCTCATAAATGCAGGTTACCACAGCTGCCTTACCCCCCTAAGTGTTCCATTTTAGATATTAAACTTGGGCATAAGCCTTCGACCATTTATTCCAGTAAGGCTCCATTTCTTTCTCACAGTTTCGTGAAGGCGTCGTCTCGCATCCGCCCAGACGAACAATGAAATCACCCTCTGTGTATAGCCCATTTGAACCGGGCTTCGGAGCTTCATGAGAATAGGCGTTGATAATTTTCTGGGGAATAAGAGCTAGTCTGGCTAGAATGGTCGGATGCCATTGTACAATATGATCCTGGGAGGCAAGTTAGCTATACCTCTCAGAGCACCAGAACCCTTCAAATGGACATGTTACTTACCAGAGCATGGTTTTCCGCCTTTGCAAAGTTATAGCTCCTGTACAGCGGATCAAACCAGGCGTCTAGGAAATAATTCGCCCACTCGCCTCTCCTGATGATAAAGCTCCCTGGACAGAGGTTCTCTGCATCCTGCGTGATAATCAGGTCAACGTCGTTTCCAGACAGATGAGTGAAGGTCTTGATGACACTATCTGGTGGCACAACTGGGGTGTCTTTAATCATGAGGGATTCCAGCTTTGATTTTTCCAGCACGTGTGATGTGAGCGAGATGGTTGGGTCCATGATGACGGAATGGGGGGAGAGATGAAAGAAGTATGTGCTGCCGGGATATTTGGTCATGGCATGTCGCATGGCCGGAACGAGGGCCCAGCTCCGAGGCACCACTGCGCCTGAGGGGAGGTTCATAACAGGAACATAGTCTGCGGTGCTAGCAAAGAAGTTGACGTATCCTAGTAGAGATTGCGCGTCAGCTCAACCAACATCCTCCGGGCTGATATAACAATAAAACGAAATGGCCCAGGCCATCCGGTGCAGGTGACATGACATACCATGGCGCTTCGCGTAATCCTCCCTATTCTGTTTTATTCGCTGTATATACGTGTTGCTAAAGAAATCCGTGTCAAGAACAGTGACGATAACGACAGGAGGTCCATTCGCAACAGGGGTATCGGCCGAAGACGAGCCGGAGGAGAAAAGGTGGAAGATGAGGAAAAGAGCCGAGATGACAATGCAGCCTATAACGGCAAATGACTTCAACTGTCGCCGTCGAATGACTGTAGGGGACGATCGAGAGTAGATAGGAGGACGAGACGTCTTTCGTGGCGGCAACGCAAATTGCATCTTTTACAGCTGAGAGCGATTCTCCCAGCGCTATCAGTGCCGGAAGACCAACGATATAAATCCTCCGATTCTGTTTCAGCGTTTCATAGCCGGCCCGGTGCGTAAGAAGCAGAAAGCTGTTGAAAATAAAAAAAAAAAAAAAAAAAACACCCTCCTGGCCTTGTTGTTAACCTCCAGTAAACACTTTGGATATCAACTTTGAAAGGGCTGAACCTCTTGGAAGATGCGGCTCGGGGAGAGGTTAATCCGGGGTACTTTGGGGGTCGGGTTCATCCAGCGCTGAGACATTATACCTTAGTTTAAAGGACAGATCATGCGGTATGACCTGTCTGTAACTAATTGTCGTATAGATAGATTGATAGAACATCTTGTGTTATACAGGTTCTTTTGAAAGTGAGGCTCTAATATACAAGCAATGGAAAGTAGTAAACAACCAGGACCCAAACCAACGCTCCGCAAGCAAAACCCATTGAACATATTTGATGCGAGTTCACATCTAGGCCGGGTTCGTCCTGAGCCCAGGAGCATTCGTCTCTCCCATCGACGCAGCAGTCAACGGTGTAGCCGCCTGGTGGGCCTCCTGCTGCCGTCTCAAATCGTGCTCGGTAGCGGCCTCGATTTTCTCGCTCTCCGAGTGTCGTGCCAGAAATTGTTCAAACGTCTCTGGCTCCTGTAGACCCAGCTGCTGTCTCTCCAGCGCAAATTTCTCCTTCATTGCCAGCGAGGTCATCACCCTCCACCGTAGTTTCCAGCCAAACATGCCCAATTCCTTTATTCTAGCGGGTTTGTCGCCGAGTAGGTATTCGTCCAACCCTCCCACTTTATTGATCGTTCTCAAAACGCCATGAGTGACTTTGAGCTCTATCTCCTCATCCAAGGCCTTGCTGTAGATTTTCTCTTTTCGCACATTGGGCTTCCAAATTCTTCGTGTCTTGCCCTTGTTCCGCCCCTTGGAGATCTTGTTTCCGAATATTATAGTAGCGCCGCCGTAGAGCCCGCTGTCCGCCTGCTTGAAGGTGCGTCTAGGACCATAAGGGTATGGGGGGATTTCAGCAGGAAGAGTCGCCGCCCGCTGTATCGGCAGGGTCGTAGAGAAAGATCGGGTTGCTTGTAGGGAAATGTTGCTGAAGGAAGCTGTGAGAAGAGAAACGCGAGGGAGCTGTCTGGCGGAGCAAACCGCTGCGTGGAGAGCCATGTTGAGTTATAGCAGTAGCATCGCAAGCTCTACACCGAGTTCGAAAAGTCGCCTTCGTCTCCGGGCTCGTCTGTCCAGCCGTGCAATGTCTTCCTGTTCTTCTTGTGCTTGTCGTTGCTGCATCCTTTCTTTCGTTCGCTTTTTTTCTTCCAGCGACTCCCGGCTTATTCTCTTTTAGGCTTAGCGCCAGAGCTAATCGCATCTTCAACTCCAAAAAAGAAAAAAGCAGCTCTTCCAGGCGCAAAACAACGAAGAGAAAACCACGCCTTCTGTCTCTGCTCTGATAAAGACGAGCTGTTCTTCTTACGTTTGTTGTGTATACGCTCGGGAGATAGAGGTACGGACGCTTTGGACCGTGCTGGTTTTGCCAAAATCAGTCTTTTTCCACAGCCATGGTGAACATTAGCGAGGTGAAGGGGAGCTCGCGCGAGAACAGGACCGCCGCGCATACTCATATCAAAGGGCTTGGTTTGCGTCCTGATGGCACCGCTGAGGTCTCCGGAAATGGATTCGTTGGCCAGGTCCCTGCTAGAGAGGTATGAGTCTCCACCTTTGGCTATGCGGGATAAGAGCTTGCTCGCTAACATTCATGTCGCTTCTAGGCATGCGGCGTGATTGTCGATTTAATCAAGAGCAAGAAGATGGCTGGCAGGGCCGTGCTACTCGCTGGAGGACCGGGAACTGGAAAGACAGCTTTGGCGCTCGCTGTCTCGCAGGAATTGGGGACAAAGGTCCCTTTCTGCCCGATCGTTGCCAGTGAGATTTTCTCGGCAGAGGTAAAGAAGACAGAAGCGTTGATGGAGAACTTTCGTCGTGCAATCGGTACGTCCCACAATGTAGTGGTTACGATGATAAGGCTACTAACGCCTTGTAGGTCTCCGAGTTCGGGAAACGAAGGAAGTGTATGAGGGTGAGGTTACAGAACTTACCCCAGAAGAGGCGGAGAATCCATTGGGCGGTTACGGTAGAACGATAAGCCACCTGATTATTGGTTTGAAGTCATATAGAGGAACCAAGAAGCTACGACTCGACCCCAGCATATACGAAGCTATCCAGAAGGAACGGGTTACCGTTGGAGATGTGATATATATTGAAGCGAACACCGGGGCATGCAAGCGTGTCGGTAGATCCGATGCCTATGCAACGGAATTTGACCTCGAGGCTGAAGAATACGTCCCAATACCCAAAGGCGAGGTTCACAAGAAGAAGGAAATAGTCCAAGATGTGACACTACACGATCTGGATGTCGCGAATGCTAGACCCCAGGGAGGGCAGGATATAATGAGCATGATGGGCCAATTGATGAAGCAGAAGAAGACCGAGATCACTGATAAGCTACGGCAAGAAATCAACAAGGTCGTTAATCGGTACATCGACCAAGGAGTTGCCGAACTTGTCCCTGGTGTTTTGTTCATTGATGAGGTATGTTCGCTCCCATCTGCCCGCATTCCCGCTTTTCTAACGCCTCTGACAGGTCCACATGCTCGATATCGAATGTTTCACTTACCTCAACCGCGCTCTCGAATCATCTATTTCACCAATTGTAATCCTGGCTTCCAACCGTGGTAACACCGTCATCCGCGGCACCGACGACATAGTTGCTGCCCACGGTATTCCCTCTGACCTTCTTGCTCGTCTCCTTATCATCCCAACCCACCCATACAACTCTGAGGAAGTCAAAACCATCATCCGCCTCCGTGCCAAAACAGAAGGCCTCCAAATCACAGATGCTGCCCTTTCCAGCCTTGCAGAGCATGGAAATAAAGTTAGCTTGCGGTATGCTCTGCAGCTGTTAACCCCAGCTAGTATTCTTGCACGGGTCAACGGCAGGCCAAACGGTATCGAGGAGTCCGATATTGCTGAATGCCAGGACCTGTTTATCGATGCGAAGCGCAGTGCCAGCATTGTGGCTAGTGAGACTGGCGCTTTTATCTCTTAAGTTTTCCGTTTCTGGATTTCCCTCTTGTTTTATCGTGTATGACCATGTATGCAATAGCTGCTCAAAAATCCTTCGCCTGTCCTCATTCGTCTAAAAACCCTGAATAATTATTAAAGTGCTGGTACTATGACATAGTTCCGTTTCCAACTAGGCTTCAATCCGAAATATGGTAGTCATATATCGAGATAGCCCTTGTAGCCTGGGAAATTTGGGTGGCAAGCTTAGTATAAGCTACTATTTCGCGATTGTATTTAAACTAAACTTCAACCCATGGAGGGTACTTTGAGCCCGGATAATGTCATTATTAACAAGGCCACCCTAGGTGTGTTAGGTAGCTGGCTGTACCTTTCGAGAACCCCTGCACAAGTACCGATGGACACAGAATCAAGCCATTGCCATTCACCAAAGACAGCCGTACATACCAATAGCCGTAGGTAGCCTTATATTCCCTCATATGCTGATACAAATAGACCACTCCATTCAAGGCAGTATGACTCCGTAGTTGGATCCTTAGAATCAAGAATTGTTGACGTTCGTTTTATACCAGGTAGAATAGTGAGTTATGAGCACGTGAGCGATAATGCGTGCTTACCTAAGATAGATAGATGTCACGTGCATCAATATGCTCGGGTCTTAAATACGGCTTGTAATGCGGAGTAACAAGATCCGTTCCATGATGTAATCCAAAAATACACGACTTACCTTGATGCCTTTCAACACCGTCAGCCATCAGCTGCCAGCAACCGCCCGCCAGCTTGACCAACATCGTCCATACCTGCGGCACTTAACAACCCTGCATAGTGTACGGTACCTTCGTTCGGGTCCTAATTTCACTTACACTGGCTTAGCTATCCCCGCGATCCATTATCTGTAGAGTCGGCACTTCTCCTTGCCCCCGAACAACCAGCACATTCCTTCGCAGCGAGACTATACCCTAGCCGACCGCTATGGCCAATACTCTCGACACAGATGCCGGCTCTGAGCTGTTCAGCAGCTATGAGGCAGAGCTAAAACTTGTTCAGGCTGATCTAAACCAGAAGCTCGACCAGATCGCTGAAGCTTCCGGGGAGGAGCGGAAGGCGGCTATCAGGCAGGCGGAGAGGGCGCTGGAAGAAGCAAACGAACTTGTAAGACATCTACCCTAAGACCCTGTTTAAGTTTCACAGCTAGGCCATGTGGAATGACTTTTGACTGCCTCTTATTACTGTTGCTAATCTAGGTTTCTGTATAGCTTGACCAAATGCGCATGGAGAAGGAAAACATCCCATCATCTACTCGTTCCAAGATAAACTCCCGCTTCAGAAACTACCTCACAGACGTCGACAACACAAAGCGGAAACTACGCTCGCTGTCGGATGACCGCAAAGCTCTATTCGGAGAACGCTATACCGATGACCCAAACAGCACCCATGACCAACATCTAGAGCAGAGACAGCAACTCCTTTCCGGTACAGAGAGGCTGGAGAGAAGCTCTGCCCGTCTACAAGACAGCCAGAGAGTGGCACTATCAACTGAAGAGATTGGGCGGGATACCCTTGCCGATCTATACCGTCAACGTGAGACGATCGAGCATACCAGAGCAGGATTGTTGGAAAGTGAAGGTTACGTTGACCGAAGTGTGAAGACGTTGAGGGGGATGGCTCGTAGGTAGTAACCCCTACATCCCCGGCTTTACAAAAACGAAGACAAAAACACACTGACTCAGGCTTCTCGACTAGGATGGCTACCAATCGGATAATTACTATTGCTATCATCACAGTGCTGGTCTTATTGATTATTGGTGTGATTTATAGCAAGTTCCGCTGAAGCACAAGGACTTCTTGACTTTTCAGCGTTATCCCCTTTTTTGCGCCAGCGAACCCCTTTTTATGATTGTTTGTACGAATACATTACCCTAATTTCCTTGATTCCCAACATTTGGGATACGGTCCTGCTTCTCTGCCTTAGATTTCGAGTTTTGCCCAATATCTTGTCATCAATTAACCCCCGTCGTCCAATTGTTAATGTTTTTGTTATACTTATTACTCTTATTAATCTTATATATTCAAGTAACTTTTCAACAGTCGCTCAAAACATTTCAGTTAGGAAATTTCATGATGGCATAATAATACAGTACCGTAGTGAAAGGCAATCAAGAACCCTTCAACTCAACATCCTCACTGCCCCGAACCCAAAATTAACTACCACCCCTACAAATACAGCTAGCCCTTTCCTCCAGCTCCATACCCCTTCTTCTCTTAGAAGCCATAGAGCACAGCCCACAGGCCAGAAGAACCCCATGACTGAGCCCCATAACATATCGTCTAGTGCTCGTGAAGTTCCGGATCCAAATGGGCCACTACCGCCAGTGTTTTCGGTATTAATATCCCCGAATATGTTTGAATCTTCGTTGTTTCCTCCCAAGCCAGCAACACCAGCTTCTGTTGACCCATCATCCATCCATCTATCTTCTAATCTGCGCAGTTCTATACCGGAGGGTAACGTATCCGGAGTATGCGATAGGGAAAGCAGGGCCAGAAATTGGGACCGAAGAGATGACACCTCTGCTGGGGTGAATCCAGCAGATAACAATCTATCGAAGCCCTGTGGTGCAGGTGTAGGAGTAACATTAGACCCATCACCGCCTGTCGTCGAAGCATCACCCCCGTCTAATAGCCGGCTCGGTCCGGCAGAGCTGTCCAGACCAGCTGAACCCGCGGAATCATTAGCAGAGGTATTCAACTTAAGAACATCCTGCCCTGAACGAGCAGCACGAGCTTCGGCATCAAGCTCCGCCGGAGTAAGCGTTATATCCCCTATCGAACAATGTATATATATCCTAGGCTCTCCCTGGTCTCGGACCGGAGCTTTCCCTTTCCCTGACGGGTCCGGCGCAGTCTGAGATACGGTTGATGACGAGCTCGAAGTGGCATATCCGCCTTTCGGGAAAGGAGACGCTACCCTTGAACCGGGCTCCGAAGGTGAGCCTGACGAAGGTACTCGTTGGCCATTCCCATAATGACCACGTAAATGGCTGTTCCTCCCAACTTTAATCTGTGTTGCTAGTGAGGTCGAATCGTCTAGTGACTTGCCGGCATGAATGAGTCTAAGGCGCCGCGATGTAAGGTCCGGAGGGAGCCTGTCGCGAACTAGACGCTTAAGCCCTGCGACAGTGGTGCTGTTGGGATCGGGTATGTCAAGAAATATATCTGGTATAGAGGCGGAAAATCGTATGGCGAGAAGTAACTCCAGCTCCAGAGGCAGTCGGTTGAAGTCCTCCATTTCCTCTCGTGGGATGTTCCAGAGATCTGTAATATCTTTGAATCGAAACGTCAGCGTTTGGGACAAAGGAAAATACTGTCACGTGCGAGGTTCAGGATCTACGTCTATTATTAGAAGCTTAGAAGCTTCACCATGTTCTTGACAGATGCAGAGTTTCTGGTCTTTATTACAGGCTTAGAGAGTTTATGTATTGCTGCTAGTATATATTTATCGGTTTAGATAGCCCCTATCAATCATCAATATGCTGTGGTGGGCAGTCAAAACGTCTGCATCCATGGGTTGAGAGTTTGTATACTCTTTATATGAGTGGGTATAAAATGCTATTGGAGTGTAACAAGCATCTAGAAATGTACAGATAATAATGCAAAAATTATTGACCCAGCCCAGGCTATAGATAGATCTTCAGTCACCCAAACGCCAATCCAACGCTGTAAATAAAAGCGCAAGCAAATCGCAGAACTAGTGGCATATATAGTGTAAATCCTACAGTCATACCATGAACGATTCACCACAGCCGCATTCATCCTCTATAATACGGTTAGAGTTGCATTTGCCCTAGCTGGGTAACAAGGAGAGATACTTACTAATGTTTGGGTTGTTGAATACGAAGCGGCTGCTCAGTGGGTCTTCGTGCCAGTCCACTTCACTCCCAATTATGCTGAAAAGAGCCTTAGAATCAATCAAGACTTTAACACCATCCTGTTCAACAACTTCGTCGAAAGGAGCTGGCTTCTCAACATATTCTAGATGGTATGAGAGTCCCGAGCAACCTCTATTCTTCACACCTATCCGGATCAGCTTCGGGTCTGGCTGGGAAACAAGGTCTCGGAGTTTGGACAGCGCAGTTGGTGTGAGTGATACAGCGGCTTTTCTTGCTCGTAGTTTACTCTTTCGCGGCTTCGCTTTCGTCTCCGAAGGAGGTGTGGCTCCGCTCCTGGACACAGGTTGCGACTTCTGGGCTTCATTTTCTGGCAAGGAGTAAGATGATACGGAAGCGTTGCCATCATCTTTAGATGACACCGTGTCCTTCGGTGGTGGGTATGTTGGCGAAGTGTTTAGTCCCGGAATTGCATGGGAGATGGATGTATCTGGGGTGCCCGCATTCCGGGGAGGTGGAACAACGGACTCGGGCAAAGAGTATGGTCGATAAGCGGTTGCCGTCTGGAGTTCACGTTTCGAGGACGAGTATGCTGGGCGGGAGGACGAGAATAGTCTGATGCCCCGTGGGCATTGTTGCTGTCGTCTGAGCAGAACCCGAAGCGCTGATGATGTCACGGGCTTCACGGAAGAATGACACAGCGACATGGTAACTGAAAAAAGCGGTAACAGCTAGAGAATCATTAAATAGTCGCCTGCACAAACACTTAAAAGGATGGAAGACAGCTGCTGATAAAACGCTGGTATTGCACAGGGAATGTCATTGAGCAAGATGTTTGGAGACGGACTTTTTGTTATCGTTTTCGTCGCTTGAAGATTGCCGTGATTAGTCATCCAATATCATCGGTAAAACCTCGGACCGAATCACATGATAAAGAACTGACCAATAAGAACTGTGCAATTATCAACCCTGCGGTTGATGACTCATCACTCGATCATGCCACTTTTTTAAAAGCGCCGAAAGAGGCAAATTGGACTACCAACAAATAAACGGCGGTAAAAGAGAGTACCAGAGGAACTGCATTGTATTCTTTATCTTGCTTTTGAAGCTCTCTTTGAGCCATCTAAATCTTCTAGTTTCGCGGCCATGGGGCCCAATCGGCGTTCCAGCCAAGAGCTTCGTATAAAGGAGAGGACAAGCCTTGGCTAACTAGCCCTGCATTCGGCCCGAAGTTTAGCGTCTTCCACGATCTAAATGCTTGATTGACCCCATCTAACTTTTGATACCTGAATAAGGATAGAAGGAGTGAATAGAAGAGAGAAATGACAGAAGGAGAGAGAAATGGGAAAAGATAAAGAGAATGAAAGGGGACAAGCTGTATGCTTAAGCTAAGCCAACCTCCATGGGAAGAGAGATGTGGGAGTTCAACGAATCGAAAGGATGTGATGGATGCCCCTCAACTGCTGGCTTTCGGGTGAAGAAGATGAGCATATCCCTAGTGGCTTGACGGCTCGGGTCGATGGCATAGACTGGGGAGAGGCTATGCTTTCGTTCGTGGTCAACGAACAGCAGCGTATCCAAGAATTCGCGGTGCTGATGGCTACCCAATGTATGCTCCGGGTTGACTTCGTTCCAACGCAGAGCGTTTTTTGCGCGCATGTCGTGCACAAACGTTGTTGCACTGTCACCCGTCATATTTTCGCTGCCCAGGAAGGTCGTCATAGTGAAATCCACACCGTCACTATGCATGCCTTCAAGAGCCGGCTCGCCAACTGTATCCGGGCTAGTGACAGTTCGCAGGTTGAACAGGGTGCAGACAAAGTTCTCTGTCCCGTAATTCAGCCTCGGGCGCTGCTTGAACGGGACCCCATGGAAGATCAATGCTTTGAATACGAATAGGGCTTGCAGTGTCGAATTGCCCTGGAGATCGTCTTCTACCTCTGCAAATCTCCGGACCTGACCTGAGTCATGCCTGACAAAATCCTCATCAGCCGAGAGAATGAAAGGCTGAAATTCAAGACGGCGGACTTTGGATTGCTCAAAATCGAAGCAAAATCGGGCGTTCTTGCTTTTCCGGAAGGGTAGGGTAGGGTCGTCAGGCAAGCTATTGCTAACGGTTTTGATCTTCTCCATGTCTTCATGGGTAGCTCCAAGAAGCTTGAGAATTGGGATCATTCGGTTGCTCTCCACAAAGATGAGTCTTTCCTTGACGAATTGCTCACGCAGCCTGATAAGGTCCGCAACAGCTGCGGTCGACTCTGGGCTGACTACAGGTATCGCCATGTTGAATTGAAAACAGGCACTGGCGGTCGTGTATAGAATAATAAGGGCAATTTGCGTAAGAAATATAGTCAGTGAAGGTAGGTATCAATTGACTGATATTTCACTCCAGGACTCTAGGATTCTATCTTGATTTTATACTTACTCTGTAGCACCAACTCTCAATGCCCTCCCCAAGCTCGATCGGTACAAACATACAGACCTGCCATGCAGTGCGGAGGTGCGAGATGTGCATGTGGCGTGTTCACCGTTGCTAACGGCTTGTCCCTTAACCAGGATGTACTCATTTATACGAGTGACTCCATTTTGTTACGCGTTGAAAGGCTGAGATGAAAGGATCATATACACGTGAGATATATAGCGTTCTTGTGCTTGCCCATAATCATGTCGAAAATGTCAACAATAGTCGGGACAGAAGCAGTATCAGCTCATTAACCTCGTAACTTCCCTGTCTCCGGCTGCATATCCACGTATGTGGCCCGTATCCCACGTCGGGTATGGACACGGCCGTATCACCATCCCCATCCAGACTGAGCAGCGTTGATAGGCTAACCTGGAGTTAATACGCAAAGAAACCCCACGCATACAACTAAGACCAGCCTAGCAGTCCGCTCCCAAGCTTAAAGTAACGACATAAAGTTCCTGATTCCCTTAAACACTATTTGAATAATGAAAATATGAGGGGGCATCAATCTGAAAAATCACCCACCAACTCCATATCTCGCCATAAAAAGGACGAGTATGGACCTCTCAAGAGAGGACCAACTTGATAGTAGGCTCTCCACCAGTCAATACATCCAAAAGCCTAGGATCCAACCAGAATAATTCGGTGGAGAGAGTATAATGGGTAGGGTAAACAACCCTCTGGAACCTGCAACCTGGCATGGTGTAAGTTAGCATCCTCCCAGCTTCCTGAGATTGACTCACTTACATTACGCGGCAGAGTAAGAAAACCTTTGTGGCATTCGTCGGTCTTCTAACTCTCTTCAACAGCGTCTTTGATTCTACCATCCCCAGTGGCGGAATTCGGTTCATTGCTGCTGCATTGAACGTACAGGGCGAATCTCAACTTGCTCTGCCCACTTCCGTGTTCTTGATCGGATACGTGACTGGACCCTTGGCCTTCGGGCCCATGAGTGAGGTTTATGGCCGACGAGTGGTCATGATTGGGAGCTTTGTGCTCTTTACCATCTTCACACTTGCATGCGCTGTGGCCCCGAGCTGGTTGGCGTTGATCATATTTCGATCACTATGCGGTATCTTCGCATCCACCCCAATTGCAGTCACTGGAGGTATTTTTGCAGACATATACCGCTCTCCTCTGACTCGGGGCCGAGTTATGGCCCTCTCAATGGCGGTAATTATTTGAATCCTTCTCAGCTCCGATTATCCTGCATGTTACTAAATGATCGACTTAGGTCACTGCTGCCGGCCCGCAATTTGCTCCAGTAATCGCAGGATTTGTTGCAACTGCGGGATGGAGATGGATTTTTTGGGTGTCGCTCATCCTTGCTGGTGTAACTCTGGTTCCAGTTTTGTTTCTCCCGGAAACTTTTCAGCCTGCCCTGGTGAAGCAGCCGCAACGGCGTGGTGAGGGAGTCGTCACCAAGGCGCTTGCCCGCCCACTCTACATGCTTTTCTGTGAGCCAATCCTATCATTCACTTGCCTCTATCTGTCATATGCAAGTGCAATATTCTGTGAGTGTCCACTTTTGCCTTCGGAACTATATAACTTTGACTGATTTGATGAAGTCATGTACTTCGAAGCGTATCCCCTGATTTTTCAGGGAGTCTACGGGATGAGCGATGGTATCGCAGGATTGGCCTTTCTCCCTAGTATGTGCTGGTGCCAAAAACAGAAACAGAGATTGGCTTGCTAACTCCAGTCCATAGTCGCTGTAGGAGCTGGTATCGGATTGGGAATCTTCTTAGCATATGACTCATTCCTGCAGCGTGCAAAATCAAGAAGAACCAGCTGGTCTTCCATCGAGGAATACCAGCGGCTCCCTCTAGCATGTCTAGGAGGTCCCTTGTACATGGTTGCCCTCTTTTGGCTCGGATGGAGTGCTTCACTAGATATACATTGGATCGTTCCCATGCTGGCGGGTATACCGTTTGGGATGGGATTCTTCCTCATATTTGTGGCTCTGATTAATTATCTGATCGATGCTTATCACGAATACGCCGCCAGTGCCATGGCAGCTGCAAGCTGTTGCCGCAGTATCTTGGGAGCCGTGTTGCCACTTGCTGCTGTCCCAATGTTTCGCCGGTTGGGTATAGCATGGGGGTGTAGCTTGCTGGGATTCTTGAGCCTTCTCATGTCCTTGATTCCGTTCGTATTCATCCGATATGGCGATAAAATCCGTTCAAGGAGCAGGTATGGGCATTGAATGTTTCTGAATGTGCCAGGTGCGGAGACGAACGACCCAATATTATGTTGAATCCCACAGTTTGGTTTTTGTGGCTGAATCCTCATCGGCAGCTAGCTCGGGGTTTCTTGAGATCAAACCCATGTTCATCGAAATCTTCCTTCTATATGGTATACGTCACTGGGCCCCGCAACTTTATAGAACAGAGCATAGATTCGTGTCATTGTTTACCAATTCATGCATATAAGGAAGATCACATCACATCTAGACATCTCGAGTACGATAAACGTCTGGAGGATTGATCTACTGAATGCCAAGTTACAGCCATATTCGGTCCCTCCGTGGCTAGTCTAAACGAACAGGGGGTAGCCGCGGGTTCTGCATGCACTAGGCTGGTATGCCCGAGGAAGCGCGGGCTAAAGGGAGAATTTTTTGTAGCAGTGGAAAGGCTATTGAGAACCTAGGACCATAGCCATGCGAGGCTTTCAGTGCAATTCCTGTAAATTAACAATGCTTGACAGAGATTGATATTCCCTAGAACATGCACAAACTAGCGATATCTTGAAACCCTGGGCGCCTAGGTATCCTCTCTCGAAGGCAAGCATCCTAGACCAACCATAAACAAGTACAGTATCTTACACTTAATATGGTATCAAGTTTACTCAGACGATAAGAGTCACCGATGGTTGTATACTTGCTAAGCGATATATGGCAAACATCACGCGGTTGAGCACATACTTATTGGTAGTATCTCCATATTCAGGTTCCAGGGTATATATCACAAGAAGTAGCGGATAACTCATAGATAACGGTAGGGGTTTAAGAGGGGTGACAACCGTCACATTTTTGATCAAATCGGAGTCAAACGGAGAACAATGATCAGGATTTCTTGGATCTTGGATATAAAGCGGTTTATATCATGGCCTGGACTCTGTCGTACCAGCCTAGATTCGAAAATGAAAAACTAGGACGTAATATCTGCATAACTGTCTCTCCACGAAGACAGGAAGTCGGGCCCTCTTATACGCTTGAAAGCTCTAAGAACACGGTAGCCAAGCCTGGATAAGACTAAGTATAGCCCGAATGAGATATAGAGAGTAAGGTATTCTGTAAATGGTGGGATATCATAGTTGCTGATGAACATTGGTGCCTAGGTATCATTTTGCGAAGTCGTTCCGATAACTATTTATTGCGAAAGCAGCTGACTAGTCAGTAAAGCGGTTTAGTTACCAATAGTTGATCTTTTATGAGCCAAGATAACTACGTTGGCTAATAAAAGAGAGAATTTATCGGGAGTGCGCCTTTTCTTGAAGCGATGGATGCGTGTCCATGTTTAGGGTGCTCAGTACGATAACTAGGTGAATACCTAGCCGTAAGCTGGTTGACGAGTTAGTTAAGCGTGTTCCCCGTTCTAATTACCCCTTTTTATGCATGCATATTCGTTTTGATGCTACTGGCGGCACTCGACCAATCAGCATTGCTGAGTAAGATAAAGGGAGAACACTTTAGCATCAACTTCGCAAGCAAACGAGTTCGAGATCAGCCAGCTTGATGATACAGCCCTTGGTCATGCTGGCATGCATATCATTGTGATGTAACTAGGGGGTTCTCCATAACTGACTGAATATTCACTCGGCTACGCCGCAAGTAAAACCCATTTCAAGTTTGTCTCGAGACAGCGATGCTATCAAAACGAGGCGGATCAAACAAGCGACACTACCATGGAATCCTCTCCTCTAACTCAGCAGACCCGGCCTGAGACGTTTCAGCCAAAGATAGTGAAGCTATACGAGACTCTACTATTTGTACGCTATTTTTCAGGCCTCCAAAATGATGATATCGCGGATGGTTATGCTAATGTTGTGTCCTAGAACTCAGACTATGCTCATCCCACAGAAGGTTTCTGGCGGGAGTTCTTCCTCCTTCAGCCAGACAGGGTGTATCTGTCGAAAATGATAGCTAGTATTAACTCTCACGACATCCTACACCTTCAAGTAAGATTCTAGGGTGCTTTTTATGCATGGATTCTGGCGGTACTAACTTATCTAGTCTCAAACACAACAACTCTTTGCTCGTGCTATCAAAGAAGCAGCCTCTGGGAATATTACGACGAGTGCGAATGCATTAGAGGTCAGGCCCGGAAATACCCTTATCCACAGAATGTTTCAATATCTAACGGGTGTTGGCAGACTTTAACTGCTTTCCTGGCCAGTGCATTATCAAAGAGGTATACCAATCCAAGCTCGGATATCATAGCAGTTCTCGCAGGGCTCGATGAAGTTGACTATATTTGCTCCGAGTTTGTAACCGTTCTGGATTCAGTCATACGGAATGGCAGTTCACGTAAGCACTCGAATCCTAACGTGACTCAACCGAAGTATCTTGTTAACTATGGGACAGTGGATGTTCGGGTAAAAGCCATTGATACTGCTATGGCAATGGTTGCCGGCGCGTATAAGACAGGGGTTATGTCATACTTTATCCATCGGGATCTTTTTCCATCGCTAATGAAGGTGAGCTCAATTTCAACAACTCGTTGCTGCTATTTACCTTCATTGACAGGCTTCGTTAACGGATTCCAAAGTTCATACATGATTCTGATACCCACACGCAAGTATTAAGGCCCTTCTTGTTACTTGGCCTCTTAGCCAACTACAACAAATTCGATTTTCAAAATCCTTATCAGCTACGACTGAATGACTTCGTAAATGAAATTGCGATACGAAAGGTTGTTAGAGGAGCGGGAGTCGCATGCGCTTCTCTCAGGAATTCGTACATTTCCGTTCAAGACGATCTTCCTGAGGGCTGGAATTGGAATACAACTCTGTCATTTTTCAGCTTTGGCTTCCTCGCCCCAGGACGAAGACACCAAAGCCAGCCTCTCACCGTGGAAGAGATGAAAGAGCGTTTCAAGGTCCTGTGAGTGAAGCTGGCTGATTTGCTTGTACGAGCTCCACGATGCTAATACATTTTTCTAGCCCATCACCAGAAGCAGCTGTTTTGTTAGCCATCTATGATTTCGTAAATGCAAACAAGCTCTTTGGTCACGCCTTAGTGACCACCAGCGCCGAGAAGAGATCTGAAGAGGCTCCATTTGCAAGCTTCCTTTCATTGACATCATACTTACTGCAGCATGCATACCGTTCAGCTCGAGTGGCGCTGTATGCAGAAGCCAATCTCTTCTCACTTCGAAACCTAGTGGAGGATCCTGTTATCTGTAAACAAATTTGCAGTGATGAGAATAATGCAAGGGTAAGGCTTTGTCGTCAGCGAGCTCCGCACCTCCCATTGGTAAATGGGGAGAGAGTTCTGGCAACTGTCATATTTGACATTCTAGTTGATACCATAAACCATAACCTTCGCCGGAGCCTTGACACATATTTATACAGGTGAGATCACTATCTAGCGTATCCTTACACAACTTGATGTTAACGCTAACTGCACAGCCACACAATCATCGTACTCTTCCGCCTTCTCACATATGCATCCTCGAACAAAGTTCGCTTTTCATATCACTGGTCCGAGCTCTGGCGAGCCCTGCTTACGCTGACACGCTTCCTAACTACGTATTCAATGGACCTTATACATAGCCCTCATATCCAAACTGTCACTACAGACCTGATCGATCTTATTACCTTTTGCATATCCGCTGGCGATACCTTCCTCCCTGACCCGTCGTCTTATGATGACCTCTTCTACAAAGTGGTGGAAGCGGACTCTATTTTGAAGCGTTTCCGTGATGTTTATAAACATCTTTCAGCCACATCCTCCCACTCCACCAATTCAACCTTTTCAATCAATGCCCTAATCAGCGTTTCAACACACTTTCACTCCCTGTTATTTGTGTCTGACTCAGCGGATGCATCCCGACCTGGTAGCAAGAGTGGTGAATCAACGACAGCTTCCCCTCCTCCATCCGCAAGAAAGAAAAGGCTCAGCCCCAGAGAAGTTCATCAGATTATCAAGGAAGGCTATTCGACTCTTAGCATTCGAGCGAACGATGATTTGATCAACTGGGAAAAGTGGCGCGATGCAGATTGGAAGCCCCAGTTAAAGCGCATCACAAGAGCGGCAGTGGAGGATGTTACAACCATAATATCCCAGCCAGAACAGCCAAATATTCTAATGGAGACGAAGCACACATCGGGTGGGTAAATGCTGTGTGCCTCCGTTTAGAAATAATCTTCTACCTTCGAATAAATTTCAATGTTTATATTGCTCCTTAAAATGGAACTCCTATTAAATTGCGATATTGATTTCTACCTTGTGCAACAATGTGTACTATCTTGACCTTCCGCGCCACACTGTGCAATGCGACAGGTATACAGGGTATATGTTGTAAATAAGAAAATATGCACGAAAGAGGACTGTTGGTTACTTATTACACCAGAGCCTGTAACAAAAGCATTGAAGAAGCCCACCTCGCTTATAAGAAAGAAATCCAGCGCCGGGTCACACAAGCCCGCAGAAGACCCAAACCAAATAGAACAAGGCCTCTCAAGAAAACAAAGTATAAGAGAGTAGAAAACATTGCATAGCGGATAGCAATCAAATTAATCGCAAGTCTAGTCGGACTTATCTTGCTTGTCCATTTCGAAAAGGCGGGCCGTGGCAGTACCAGGAGCATCCTGGCTGTTTACGCCCTTGGCCTTGTCAATGTATTCTTTGCTTGGAGCATCATATTTGGCAGAGAAGTAACGGTCAGAATGTTTGCTAAGCCACATAGAGAACTTTGATAATTCCTCACGTAATCTCTGTGTAGCCTGCTGGCTCAGCCCTGTCTGAGCAATAAGCTCAGGTAGAGATGCTAAATTATCAAGACACTCGTTAGCAGTATGCCGGATAAAAATTAATATGGCTTAATTTCGGGGATGTTATACCGAACAGACGTGCAAGATGCTCAGCACCGTACACCTCACAGGGCCCTTTGTTAACGTATCCTTCAGCTCCAGATTCCCATTTATTGCTGATCATCTGGTATTGTTGTCTCTCAAACTGGTAAAGGAGAATCTTAGAGAGTGACTTTTCAAAGTATTCTCTAATTCCGGCCACCACCTCTTCGAGCACGTCAATATCCGAAGCACTGGCCCGTTTGGGTTTTTCTTCTTCAAAGTAATGATCGAGTATGGTGGAAACCGGTCCTTTTGCTGGAAGTGGAACAAGCTGGTTATTTTTGGTAACATATTCCCAGTCATCCACAAGGAGCGCCTTGAGATTATCTGGTATTACTATGCGAATAGACGGGCGTGCATTAAATTCATCCTCCTGATTGGAACAATTAGCACAAAGAGAATATGCTAAAGAATAAGAAGTGGCAATATAAAGCATCCGTACCTTCTCGATCTCCGTGTCTCTTCCCCGTTTCGTTCCCCTGGCTGGGATAGATGATTGTCTGTCATCGCTTCCGATGGTGGAACCCCGGTCAGAAGCTGCAGCAGTCTTTTTCTTTTTAGATTTCTTGCGCGAGGCTGCCTCTGCCTCACGTCTCAACGTAGCGGCGAGCTCTTTGTTGTCCTCTGTAGCTTTTCGAAGTCGATCTTGGAAAACCCAGTCATCCCACCTGTGTATAATGAAAAGAAAAAAAAAGTTGTCAGCTAATACCCCCAGCCCATCATCTCCAAATATAAACTAGAAATTCTAATATCCCTGTCCAACGTGGAATAAACATTTGAACATCCGCCCCTGTCGTTGAATCTATTGAACGAACTCCATATTGCGTGCTGGCAGGGAGAGTAAAGGTAATAACATACGTATGTTTCCAGCCCTTGTAATGAACACGATATTCGTAAGGGCTCTTTCGATCTTCTGGATCACTCAGCCGCAATGCTATTATCTTTGCTTCGTAGAGGATATCATGGTGAAAGCATAGCACAGTCTCATCCTTATGGTATATCGGATGGTTGAGAGGCATGTTTGCGAATAGTGTAAAGTAAGCAAAGTTGCAAAACAACTCAAGTCGCAAAATCAATGTAGTGATACGTTCTTGACGAATGTTTGAGAAGCCAGTCTGATACTGACGCTATGATGGAAAATCAGGCCAAGTAGACAATTCGCGCTCAAAATATACCTATTTGAGCTACCAAACAAACTTGCCAGAGTGCGAAAACGAGCGCTAGCTCAAATTGCACTTTAAACTGGGGACAGATTGACAGCTCTATCACCACAGTGGCCTTTCTTTGATACCCTTGTGGCCTTGAGCTGAACGGATGAATTTCCTAAAATCCCAGTTAGCTTCAGATCCAAAGCAGTTTGAAAACGGATAGGGACAAGAGAAGGCGTACGGGGTATACCTATAACAAAAGCACTTGCTTTTCACTGATGCCTTGCAAAAAGAGGTATATATTTGCTGCGTCCAGGGTTGTTTGGTATCACTGCTTGCGCCCCTTCACGGTGTTGCGACGAGACGAAATAGGTGAAAATTACGCATGTGTTAAGCGTTCGAAATATTACCGTATTTACTCTATTATCGCTGCGTAAATATCAGTTCTAGACTGTAAGCCTGTAAACCGGTCACGTGGAAATCGCGACGCGCGACGACCAAGGTTTGCGACTTCGCAAGTTCGATATCAAAAAGCAAGTCGTTTGAAATAATTAAAGTACGCTACAAACTAATTTAAATTAGAAACGTTGGTAGAGAACACAAAGACGGACCCTCGTTTGATACGAAATAGGCCTAAATCCATTCATGTCTTGGTACACTCCGTTCCTTGGTGAGGAAGTGTAATCAATACCCGACACAATCATCCATACATTCAATTTATACCATGGCACCGTCCGAGGAATCCATTCTCACAAACTTCTTGTTATCCCCTTCCTCACTACCAACTGTTCTATCACTTGAACAGTTTACGAAGCTGTTTCCGAGACGGTTACAATCTCACCCGCAGATTAGGACGTTGTATCGTGACTTACAATACCTCCGTGCCCAGGATATCGATTTAGTCCAGGAAAACATTCAAAGAGAAATCAAAAACGGAGAGAAGCAAAAGGAAGAACTGAGAAATGCTCAGCTAGATTCAGGAGTGACCAGTATGTCCCGTGGTGATAAAACTGAGGCTGATATGGATATCCAACTATTTGGCCAGCAGGATGGACTGGTAACCAGGCCAGAAGATCGCCACACCCTACAGACGCTTTTGGTTGATATGGAAAGGGCCTGTGGTGCCATGCGATCCAATATACACTCCCTCGATTCAGAAACGTCAGAGCTCGCTAGCCAAATTGAAGCCACCGTGGGGGAATTGAGTGATCTCCGGTATGGAAAGTTGAACGCAAGTGGGGCAGGTAATGCTCTAAGAGATGATGTTATCCTGGGCTTGAAAAATCTAGAAGACAGATGCAGTAACGCTATGTCACGCTGATAAGAATACGAGTGCTGTCGTTCGAGGCAGGCATGGAGACCACCCTATCCAAACCGATCAGATCTTCCCAAAATCTAAGTCGCGGATGAATGATTTGCCAATATATCTAACGGCGGCTGCAATGCTGATGTCGGTCGCGTTGTAATCTTCCTTCGTCTTCACCTTTCCGACTTTGTCAAATTCGTATTGCGCAATTGGTTTACGCTGCTTCCAATTCACAGTTTCGTTCGCTAGAACTCTCGGCAAAGGTGGGAATCTGGAATATCCAGATCGGCACCTGTCATCTCCTTCGTGTTTGAACTCATCGCGGGAAGGCCAGTACGCGTTCTGGCGTCCACTGCCTGGATCGGATAAGGGGCCCCATATTGTTTCGGCTGCCAGGACCAGACCGAGCCGGTCCCTTAACCTCCTTCCTCTGAACAGTTTGTCTGTCTTCGTGGCAGTCTTGCAAAACTTTTGCTGTTTGATAGCAAGTGACCGGGCCATCCTGTGCTTATCCTCCACCTTTTTAAAAAGCCTAAGGGCGAGCCATTCTTTGAATGTTGTTGGCACAAATGGTGATCTCGGCACAACATATGACATACTATCACGGACTCTCATCCAGGCTTCATACTCTCTGGTCTCTTCTGAAACCCATGTCTTCGAAGTAGTATGGGACATCCCTAAGGTGATATAGTGAGGTGTTATAGCCAGTTGTTGGTCTCTTCTCAAGCTGGAATGCTGGGACTGATTAATATAGCTTGATGGCCTAGGGTAAGGGGTGTTTCTATAACAACTGTTACTTTTATTCTATTCCTAGAGCTTGCGCCATTCTTCCCCTTGTAGATAGAGCTTATCTCTTTGCTTAGGACGCGTTGTCTTTTGTGTGTAGCTGTCACTTCTTCATATCAACATGAGTATTGGGTCCCTGATTAGCTTTTGATAAGCTAAGATAGCCACAGCTGGCTTAACTAATTCACCTAATATAGCTACCAAGGGGATTTGATTGAATGGTAGATCTACTGATACAGACTAAATTTTTAGTATTGATAAGGAAATACATTTAGCTTCACTCCTTTTGGAACTCTCCGAGTCAATATGTTACATGTAGGAGAGTTGCTAAGACCCAAGGAGCTCTCTGGACTTACATAAGGGAGTATACCTAAACAGCCCTTCTCTCTTTTCTTCTATTAGCTCTTTACCTGTCTTTGTAATTTGATAAACACTGGTGGCCGATATCATATCCTTAGCCTACTATGCATTTCTATTTGTATAGCAAGCAACCTATCCTCTAAAAGCCTAGTCTATTATTCAGATGTAGCCATCTCAATAGACTTCTCTTTAGTGCTCTGCTATGTAGAATATGACATAGAACTGAATTAGATCTAGATGTTGAGGTGAGGCCAGGAGAGGATCACATGACCGGGTGCAGCTAAAAGGTGGAATATTTTCTAACCGCCAGCACGAAAACAACCTCCTCCACGGTGTCAGATCCAGGGTAAATATAAGCTCCAGCAAGAAACGGCCAGCTATTTAATTTTATATGCGACATGCCCACAGTTCCGCTTCACATATCTCTATCAAGCAACAGGAATGGGTGCTCGACAGAGACGGTCACCAACCCACTGCCCCAGCTCCTCCAGACACCATCCGGTTTAGCCATTCTAGAGCTCCAAGGGACCATTAATCTCCCAGAGAGCGATGACCAAGAGATACAAGATACTATACCCGATGTCTCACAGCATACACGTAAAGTCGAGACACCAATTGGCCGGATCATATTCGCAGACTACGACCCAGCTGCCGACCCATCTGACAGAGGTTGGATGAAGCGTGTGTATCTTACTGTTGGCCAACATCAACGTCTAACAGGCGAAGTTAAAAAACTACCGAAGCCTATAGCGGTCATCCAAAGGCGAAAATCGACAGTCCGCGATGGTACGAGTTCACAATCTGTGGCACAGGATGGCAATATCCCACCCACCCCGGATCAGCTAGAGATCGTGGAGATCATAAAGTACAAGCTAATGTTCTCCTCACGACCCGAGCCTATCACCAATGAGGGGTTTTGAATCCCAGCCGTTCGGCACGAATTGTCGTTGGGTATCAGTTATAGCGCAGAAAACTGACCTGAATGTCGCGCATGGAGGATTTACACAAACAGTATACCCTACGGGGTGTACAGATGGAAGGTAATGAGCAGGCATTGACGTTTTCAACAGGCATGGCTGACTAGCCATCTTCTCACTTCGAAATCTTGCATGCAGAACCAGCCGTTTCCCTTTAATTTCCGCCCTTCGTACACGTTTTTCGCTCCTCCTCTGCGATCGCCAATATGGAGCAGAAATCATTCGGGAACCTCGCCTGGATAGGTGGTCATTGCCTTTAAAAATTATAGAAGCAGAGTCACACAAACGAGTGCAGTCACTCAAGTTCAGCCACAGATGTTATATATGCTCCCTATTGTTAACAGCAAGATCACCAATGGCTACTGAAGATCAGCCGAAACTAAATCATGCTAAGGTTAATCATAGAAGCAAATCAGTTCCCATCGCCTGGATACACTCGCTACACATGGAGTTAGCCTTTTGCCATTGGCATGCTAGACTTGACGTATAAGCATCATGCTCCAAACGTTAGTTATGGCTAGCAGGAAAAGAAGAAGAAATATCAGAAACTAAAAGATTTTCAGTTTACTTGTGCTTTTTCAAGGTATGACAGAATCGTGGAACAAATATAGCCCCCTGTCTTTGCCTACAATCCCTGTCCTAGCCACACCGATGTACTGATGCTCTTAGTGTGCGTGTTAGCTAGAACGCAGTCCTTGACACTAACTATAATACGGATCTCTTCAGCCGACGGTATTCAAATGAAAAAAAAAAATGGATCATCGACACTCCGTGTGGGCTTGGCGTTTGTTTATATGCAAGAAGGTGGCAATTTCTATCTTGTCATCAAAGAACTCCGTTATACCTTATATATAGACTGACTTCATACACACACAACACAGACCTGAACTGACACCAACCATTTATTCTTTTGCTTCAACCTTCTTGGCTACAATTTATCAGAAGATACAAAACTCCATCACTATGACTTTTATTCCTCCTCAAGAAGATATTGTCCCTAGCCAGTTGGGACCGGAGTATCTGGGTTTCGACCATATTCTTTGGTATGTTGGCAACGCTAAACAGGCCGCATCTTATTATATCACTCGTTGGGGCTTCAAATCAATTGCCTACAAAGGGCCAGAGAATGGATCAAATCACATTGCTGGTCATGTTATAAAAAATGGAGACGTGATATTTGTCTTCATCTCACCAATAATTTCTTTCCCTTGCAACAAGCTGGATTACAAAACGACCTCGGAGGAAAAGCAACAACTCCAGGAAATACAGGATCACCTCTTAAAGCACGGAGACGGGGTCAAGGATATCGCGTTCCGAGTCAGCGCAGATGTCAAACCCATTTTCGACAAGGCAATTGCTGCAGGGGGTCAAGCTGTGCATCAACCGACTACTATCAAGGACGCGGGTAATGGAGTGATCCAAACCTGCACAATTGGATCATATGGAGATACAACTCACACACTCGTTAATCGCAGAAACTACAAGGGCTGCTTCATGCCCGGGTTTCAGCCGGTTGATGAGAGCGATCCAATTGAACGTTACCTTCCACAGGTTGATTTCATGAATATTGACCACTGTGTGGGAAACCAACCTTGGGATGGGCTTGATCCTACCGTCAGCTTGTAAGTACCACGTACTCTACTTGTTGACCTGCCGTGCTGCTAATCGGTAGCTAATGTGGGATGAAACTAGCTATGAAAAGTGCCTTGAATTCCACCGCTATTGGAGCGTGGATGATAAAGACATGTGCTCGGATTATTCTGCCATGCGCTCGGTTGTCATAGCTTCACCTAATGAGATCATAAAAATGCCTCTTAATGAACCAGCTGAGGGCTTGAAGAAATCTCAGATCGAGGAGTACGCTCGTCACTTTCCATGCGCCTGTCAGTTTGCTACTTACACTCGCTATTTTTAGATTTGTCGATTATTACAACGGGGCTGGAGTACAGCACATTGCCTTTCTAACAGACGATATCCTAAAGGCAATCACCACTCTTCGTGAACGAGGGGTTAAGTTCATCTCCGTCCCAAGGGGGTACTACGACAACATGCGTGAGCGCCTAGCGCAGGCCGGCATGACCCTTAACGAAGACATTGAAGCCCTTAGAGAGCAAAATATCCTAGTTGATTTCGATGAACGTGGATATCTCCTTCAAATATTCGCCAAACACGTCGCTGATAGGCCCACGGTTTTCATCGAAGTCATTCAACGGAACAATTTTGACGGATTCGGAGCTGGCAATTTCAAGGCACTCTTTGAGGCTTTCGAACAAGAACAGGCTTTACGAGGTAACCTTTGATAAGGCAACCTTCGCTCTTCGTCTGATGCCGATAATTCATTCCACTCTCTCAGTTTTCTGCAATTAATTAGCTCTTTTAATGTCACCTTATGAGTACGAATTTGCTCACGGAATACCTGATTCTTCGAGGTATCGGGCCACTTGCCCTTCGGGTTATGGTAATATGTCCAGTTATGCCAGGGAATGGTGCAGAAAATATTAGATAAAGCGTACGGCGTTCCTTTAGATTCAGCATTAGACATAGACATACGGATACGATGTTTAAAAATGTGCTTTGATGCTTCCTGTGGAGATTCCGGACTCTCCGTGCCAGTACGGACGCTACGCTCGCTTTGGCTCAGCAAATAGGAATTAACGAGAGAGAAGGTTGGACAGCATTGTCAAAGGAGATCAGCGACGTCGGTCCTTCGGAGATACGGAGTGAAGGTGTCTTAACCCCTATTTTATTATTGCAGCGTATAATCAATATACTATAATAATATTGGCCCGGGGTTCCTTGTCGCTGTCCGTGTATATTATTAGGATAACCAGCCCGAAACTTAGACGTCTCCATGCCTTCTCCGCTGGTGACAACCCGAAGAAAGCCTTGCTCGTGCACTAACTATCGGTGAGAGGCATTGTCCTGGGCTATTTCATGTGGAAGTAATATCTCATATCGGATGAGCAAAACGCATGTCTGGAATAAGTAGTCATCGCCGATGGTAGTCAATAATACCTCCGTTAAGTCTTCAGCAATAAGCAACCGGGGGGAAAATAGGTCTACAGGTAGCGTCAATCCCGGTAAGCCAACTCGGAACACAAGGAGATATAAACCTGGAGCAGCAGAGTCTATGCCATGCGAGAAATTGATCAACGGACACGCTAAAAAGGGTAACCCAATCCATATACATACAAAGATAAAGGGGGGGGAAAGATACATTCGAAGTAGATATGGCCTGAGGAAATCCGGATAGTGAGATAGAGATAGCTAGCAGAATACACACTGGGTTGTGTTTCCAAAGACATAATGGAACAATACATGTCAATACTCTGCACCGCCAACACTGGAGATGGATGGTGAATCGAGGTATACACGGTGAACTCTTGGTATCAAGGTTAAATCGAAGTTCAGTACGGCAATCGAAATCTATTATTGGTTCAGTGTCTTGCGTAAATCTCCGAGCTTCTGCTGCAGCGCCTCATGGCTTTGCGATAGCTATACGTTTGAAAACCAAAAAGTCAGTTACGCAATGCTTAACGGTCCAAGGGAATTTGTTCTTTTTTCCTCCTTCTTTTCTTTTTCTCTTCTTTTGCTTTTTTTTCTCTCTCGCAGGAACCCGCGTGGAAAGAGTATAGGATACGTACCTCTGCCCATTTCATCTTTGTCTCGACCAAATCCTTCTCCATCTCTGCCATTTGCTCCTCCATGGACCGGTTCTCATTCTGTACCTCAATATTTCGCTGCATTATACGGTCCATTTCGGTCCGGAGTTTCTCTTCAAGCTCTGCGGGTTGTTTGTCTATCACGGCTTTGAGTTCTACTACCTCAACTTTCATACTCTCATTCATATCTTTGAGTTCTTCGTTCTCGACTTTGACCCGAACAAGCTTAGATGCTATCTGAACGTGTTCCTTGTCTGATTTTTCTGCATGCTCTTCCAAAGAGCGGATTCGGCTGGCTTGAGTAGCGATGGTATGTTTATAGTTCTCTAGCTCATCCGCAAGCTCTTTCTCCGCACGGGTCTTCTGTTCCCACTCTTCTGTGTAAGTCTTTATCATTTCAGGTGTCAGGGGAATGGCACACGCATCCTCCACCATGATATCTGCACGGTAGATTTCCTTGTCATTTGCCCCTGAGCTGCCGAAGAACCCAGATTCTAGAATCGAGCTAGGAGTTGGCTGCTGATCGATGTATACGTCAAAAAGTCTTTCCTTGACAAAGTTGGTCAAGGTGGTCATATCATTCATAGCAAGAAGTGTTTCTACATTTCGTTGCATGATGGCGACAGCAAATCGTAAGATGGTGCTTTCGAGGCCCTCTTCGAATATCAGATCGTATATTCGAAGAACGAGTTGGAGCGGGAAACGATAAGCAAAGAGGGTGAGAAACCACTGCGTCGCGTAGAGCCCTGGGGAAACGCCTCGTCGATGCAGGTGGCAAGCAAGTGCAGGCTGTAGGTCTTCTAACAGACGCTCAAATTGGTAGAGGTGGAGATGGAGGCCCGGCATGTCCTGAATGAACATGTTTCGCATCCCATACTTGTTCATAAGCTTTACCATAAGGGTGAATGCCTCACCGTCATCCATCTGCACAAGGTTTATGTTAGTTAGATCGTAGCAAGGGTTGAAACAGGCTCACTTACATTAAACAGGAGCGGCATAGCAATGAAGTTCATCCCTTGAGCATAGCCAACACCTGAATCGTATAGAGCATAGGCTTTACAAATATTGAACAATCCTTCCTGATTGCGTTGGGACATGAAATACTTCGAATAGCTTGTGCGGGACCCGAGGTCTCGGCGGATTTGCTTCTCCAGCTTTTGCAAGGCAGCTGCATCTTCTTTTGACCGTCTCTTACGCTCAGCTTCTAGGGCAGCTTTTGCCTTTGCTACTGAGTCAGAATCCTTTTCTGACGTAGATCCAGTAGCAGTCCCATGAATGGAGCTGGTAGCCTGGGTAGAGCTATCGGAGCGTATTGAGGAACGGGAAGAGGAGATGGACTCCCTTTCCTTTGGGCTTCCGGCAGAATTTCCGTTGATAGATATTATGGACGTCGAGCTGAGTGACCGACTCGGATCCTTGTCTGTACCGCGTGCACAAAGCTCCCGGTACACATGCTCTAGCTCAGGATTCCTACTATCCGCAAGGACCTGCCATATGACACCACGAATTGTCTGCGGTATACCTCGTTTGATCGCAGCATTCAATTTCTCCGAGTTTTCCCCGGCTAATGCTTCAGGACCATTATTCACAACTTGTTGCCAGAGCTCCCAGTCGACCGGCGCTGCGGCATCTGTAGCAGATGCTGAAAAGCCGGATACCGTTCCGGGAGGTAGTTCCGGGTTGACTGTGGAGGGAAGCGGAGACGTTGCTATCGGAGACGGCAAGGGAGCAGCCGAAGTAGTAGCTTCGCTTGCGTCTAACCCTGGGATGCCAACAGAGGAGCGAGATCCTTTCCCTTCCCCCGACCCAATGCTAGCCTGGTCATCGGTTCCAACAGGAACACCTTCATCTTGCAGCCTCAGCAGCTTGAATTGATCTTTCAAACTATTCCGTGCCTGGCCTCGGGAGTCCAGACTTCCGGTTTCTCCATCGCTTCCTTCATGGAGTCTCCCGAGTTGTTCTGAGTTGCTCATGATTGTAGACACAGAGGCTCCTGTATTCCTCCTAGCTCCATTCGTAGACGATGAGTTCTTGCTATCCTTTGTATTTCCTCTAGAAAGCCAGGAAAACGGACTGGTGAGCTTTCTTGACGGGGGAGCTGGAGCATTTGGAGGAGCTGGAGGAAGAGCTTTTGTCGCGGGCGGCGCACCCCAAGGAACAGAGGGGACTGAAGCTGATAGGCCTTGTAGACGGGTTTGGTTGGGTGGTGAATCTTTAGATGGAAGCGTTGGAGGAACATCCGAGTGTTGGTCAGGAGACAGGGGGAGTCCCGTGCCGTTGGTATCATCGTCCTCTTTTAAATTTGAGAGGTTAACGTCGTCGAGGGAGGAAGATGACAGCCGGTGGGTAGTCAGCAACGGTGACTTTGGCCGTCTCTGTTTCCTAGGTGTATCCTCTCCCACTTGTGATACGGGTGAGGTTATAACGGAGCTCTGCCCATCTTCTTCGACCTCGGAAGACGGTACCGGTAGCGGAGGGACTTCTGTCGCTATGGGAGTGGAAGGAGACCTTGCAGAGCTGCTGGAAGGCCGTCTATCCGTTAGAGACCGAGGAGGCTTGGAGGAGCTTGGGTTATCGCTGTCTTGTGCTGTATCTCGGGCGTCTTCAAAGGTGTCCTAACGATAGTTACGTGAGTCCTCCGTGTCCCAAGGCTGCTGCTGCAGAGCGAAGTTCAGAGAGCACTGATGAGAAGGGGAATTGCCTACCGCTTCATAGTCAGTATTCTCCGGACTAACAACCATAGTGTATAATTATCGTCATATGGAATCCCCAGACAAGAGGGAGGAGGTTGAATTGCAGCGGAGAATTGCAGCGTCTTTGGGGTCCACGGTCCGACTTGAAACCACCTTTTTCCCTAACCAGTTGGGACAAACACGTAACGTTACACTTCGGAGAATGGGTGGAGGAAATTCAGGGTCGATATACAGCAGGGTTGTCGAGGTCGCGTAATATATCAAATAAATACCAGGTTGGTTGATGGTTGTCCTATTTTTATTTTTATTTTTATTTTTATTTTTTTTTTTTGGTCGGAGTTGAATTTGGCGATGATGTTTGCCTAAAAGGGAAGAGGCTGATGATCTTATCTCTCGGGGTCACGTTCCAACCATCTATCAAAAATAATAAAATGTCTTAATTTTTCTTTCTGCTCTTGGTCGTTTTGACTGATATTCTGCGTCTCGCTCGTCACAGCCGAGTTATTTTTGCTATTGCCAGCGAGGACAAGGGGTGATTACGCACTCTCGGATACACAGGTTATCTTTTTTTTTTTTTTTTTGATCGATCCCCCGACTCTGGGGCAGGCGGACGGGCTGGTTGGATCCTCTGGCCCAGTCGAAACCCCTTGGCTGCGTCAAGCGCATCTTCAGGCGTGTTTCACCATTCAACTCAATTTAGTTCGGTGACGCTTAATGATCCTTGACTGGCTCACTGGCCGGTGAATTTACTTAGCGATAGGACACCACCACGCGCATTCGGCACTCGGTTGAGTGGAAATGGGTGAAGATGCAACAGACGGCTCTTCACAGGTCGTCTAGGGGTCACTGCAGCCAAAGGACAACTGTTACAGATTGATGCCCGTGTTCATTCTCTCAGGGAGGATCGTCTTGGGATCTGCCGATTTCTCCAGATGCCCCGTATACCGGGAAGCCGGGATTCCTGGCACCATAGTCCAGGGGTTATGATATATTATGTATATACCAGCTATCTGATCTGTCATAGGCCTCCAATGCAACATATCGTTGTTATCTGGTAAATAGAGGCCAACGGTAGTCCCGTAAGCTTCTACTATGAATATGCGGAGTGGCGAGCCTTGTGTGTCGATGTCATTCACCTGCTCTAAGACCAGCGAGACCTATCCAACCTCTCTTCACCCAATAACGACCAGGACCTCCGAATCTTTCCTCCAGGGAGGCTACAGGTGGCAGGTCTCGTGAGCAAGTTTTGGCTTTCAATACTACAAGGTCGATGCATTCATAGCAGGACTTGACTTTCCGTTATTCATATTTTCTCGGGGAACATTTTTATATGATGGGTAGCTTTCTATTTCATGTCAATGAAAGCCCATAAAATCCGTTGGAACCTCCACCTGGACGGCACAGTGTTGGTGTCTTCAAGGTCCAGTTCCGCTGACAAAGGGCTCGTAGCAGATATTTAGCCTGCAGCAACCGCAGTCAACAATTCGCCATAGCCAGAAGGCATATAATACGGTCAAAGAAGCCACTTCTTGAAGACTGCATACGCAAAGCAGCCACGGAGAACCTTCGGTTCAAAGAGAATTCAGCGTTATATGCAAAGGGGCTTCAATTACATATTCCTTCACCAAGTCTATCTCAATGCTTTGATATTAACGCATCTGGCGTAGCTAAGGACTCCTTGAGATCGTCCCATCGACCTTTTCTCAATGGGTCCAGTCGCATCACTTCGCTGAGCCATGTTGATATCCTTTGTTGCTGCACGTCATCCACATGTTTGTTAATTTTAGCAGCAAGCAAAGTGTAGGTGATCAGCGCTTGATATACCCATTTACAGTCGTTAGTATCCTCCAGTATATCTTCGATAGCTTCAATTTCTTGCTCCAGATACTGCAGACGGTCTTTGGTAGTCAGGTTCGGCGCCATTGTCTGAGAAGAAAGTTCTATGTCGCAGACGCACATTAAGTACTGGTGATAGAACCAAATTGATTGGTCATATGGGTCGATTAATGCACGATGAATGAGGCTCAGCTCTGTATATTGTTAGACGTCATGCACTTTGATACAGTGGGAAGATAAAAGGGAGACAAACCGTTATCAAGAGTCTTCTTTCTCTTTTCATCATCAGCTGCACTTTCGTCTAAGACCTTGAGAATCAATCTAGACCTGTTGTGCCATGCGGAGAAATTCGATAGGTTGGTTCCAATCATTTTCATGGTATAATCCAGCTCATCCTGGGTCATAGATTTTAAGGCTTCCTTCCCCGTAGATTCGGATGGTCCATCAGGTATATTTTCAAGTGCATCGATCACCGCCCGTCGGTATCCCCAGCCATGAAAATTCCGTCCATCCTTATTAAGCATTTTCCCTACCAAACCAAGCTCGGTTTCCCAAAACTTGCGCGAAACAGCAGAACTTAGACGTTCAGTGGCTTGTTGTAGAAGCCATAGACGGTGATTCCATATCCAATAACATTTCGGATTCTTCTGTAGCAGTGGCACAAGAAAACCCAGGTCCTGCTGGATAAGCTGCTGAGTATGGTCGGTCGGCTGTCCTTCCTGAGTGGAGTCCTCTGAAAACATTGACTGCAATATCATGCGTCTGTAGTTCCATACGGTATAGTATTCTGCATTTTTTAGAAGCAGTTCGGAGGTCTTGTCAAATGCTTCCTTTGAGAATTCACTCTTCGCTTTCTATTTCCCTGTAATCAGCTTGACTTCTCTCAAGAGAGAGAGTACATGGCCAAAAGAAACACCTTTTGAAGTACCAGTGTGTCGAGTGCTTGGTACTCAGTGATAGCTGTGAGCTCAGCTAGCCGCTGCGCCTCTGTTCTCTGGTTTGCTGCAGATTGCCGCAGAACTCCATGCTATATAAAAATTAATATCATGTACACAAAAGACACACGGCAGTGGCACACTACTTACGCTTGACATGTTTATGAATATCTGAGTACACGTATCAATGAATATTGGTTCCTTTATTATTAACCCCAACACGTTATCTTCTTCTTTTCCTTTGCGACTTTTCTTTACGCCGTGAAGTTCGTTCTATCTCGTTGTTGATCCTCGATTTATTAGTAACGAACCAGATTTGCGGGAATGTTATTCGCTGCAACCTTATCAAAAAGTTTTCTATCGACATAACTATTTAATTGGGTGAAAGTTAATATTCAACTGGCCAATAATATTATAGATAAATTTTCATTGGTTAGTCTTTAGTAACTAACTAGCTAAAAGTTGAGTTGGTCAAAAGAAAAGTTACATTTTTGTTTTTGTACCACAACCCAGCCCTATGTAGGAAACAAGAGGCTCTCTCTAGCAAACTTTGGGGAAGAAGGTAGTTTGCCGATAGCTACACCATAACTTGAAATGCTTCCACGGTAAGTACACTAGCCTTAACACCATTAACTAGACAAACCAGTAGAAATCAAAATGAAATGAAAAGGTCCCTCTCCTCTCCTCTCCTCTGCAACCTATCAGCAATCAACTCAGCAACATTTCGCTAGCACCTATCCTGGTCCACCCCCTGGAGTATGAAATCGGTCATATGGTCGATCGCAGCGTCCTTATCCGCCGTGGTTATCACCCCATGGTCCACCAATCGATTTAACATATCACCCACAAAGTTCTGGCAATTCCATCCATTTTCGCGGTTGTTAACAGGAGTGTATAGGCAGATATTGCGAACTTCTTTTTGGGGCTTCGAAACTTGACAGATATGTTTGCGATAAAGAAGATTATTACTGGTAAGAGGATCGTATCCTTCCAAACAAACTGCTTCAAAGGTACCCGGTGTACCCCTCACGTGGACTAAGTCTCCCCTTTCGTCGACTGGATTAAAGACGAGAAGTGCGACATGGCGGTGAAGCTTGTCATCTTTTCCCTTAGACCCGGGCCAGCCTAGAAGTTGGATATTGAGATTGTTCATTGTAGTGAACTGAAAAGGGATAGTAGTTCGGAAGACAATAGAGTTGTGATGGCCACAAGGTTTAGAGGCTCAACTGAGAGTTTGTGGGAGGTTTGACAAGCGAATGTATGCCTTAAAACGAGGAGACCGGGTGTAAAATTTGGGAGTCAAGCAACCCAGTCCTTGGTTGCAGTCCGTAGGTTGTTCGTAGGGAAGTATGATGAAATAAGATGGTATTGCTGGCTTGGAATTCTGGCTGTTGAGAAATTCCATCGCAGTGGGAATTGTGCTTCCTTTTATCTCTTTCCCAGCCAGCAAGAACGATCCAGGTCTGGGGGTTAGTAAGGGATGCGAACTTCACAAGGAATTGTTACTAACAATAACTTACAACCAGTAAATGGCCCGAATGTCTCTGCGAGTGAAACTAACGGGGCAAGATGAATATAGACATGCATAGCTGGCGGTTAGGCCATGATGCTACCAATGATAACACCTATTGGGTATAAGTCTCGGTATAGATGGAACACTCTGATCCCGTAACTGCAATCCCGACCAACAGAAGTGTCCAATAGGACACTATCCCACATGAACGGCTGGCAAGGGTTCACCGTATCAAAATCTGCTAGACGCAAATAGAATAAAAGAGGCAGATTCGGCGCTTAGAAGCTGTCCTAAATGAACCTGCGTCTCTGCGTACGGAATATCGATACAGCTCGCCATTGTAGTGTTTGGGGAACCTACATCTCGCACGACCATATGGGTATGGCTTATCCTATAAAATTTCGCGTTAACAGACGATTTATCTTGAAAATCGGGGGAATTACACAGTAGAGGATCCTATTCCTTTACTCACCTCTTTAGGTACCCATTCAATATTGTGTTAGTAGCATCAGATATGGCAGGGTTGAGCATTTCAGAAGGCTGCCACCCATCTCATGATTGTCATCAAACGAGCGGGGATTGGCAGCTCGGAGTTGCAGCCCTCTTAGGGGTTGCTGGAACTGCCTAATCAAGCTTAGAATCCTGTGGGTATACTCTGTCCCATGCATGATCATTTCATGTAAATGTTGGCTGGGCGCTTAGTGGATGCAGTTTTGGGGGCGGAGTTGGTAAATCCATGCGTGGAGACACGCGTTCGATGTGATTGTCGCCATAACGCTCAAGGATTGAACAAAGAGAATGCGCCGTCCCATTTTAGTAGCGGACAGTTCCGATGGAAGACACAGTGGACGGCCCATGGGTTCCCTGCCTAACTGCGTAGACGTGCTGTTATTGATTAGCCTAAGTTATTGGAAGTTAGCCAGTCGTGAAACAAGTTTACAAGGTCTAGGACAAGCAGGTTCGGCGAATCGCTGACCTGATGGTTGCTAGAGCGGAATGAAAAGTTCAGGCAACTGGTCAACTTCAAGGAGCGGGAGCTTATAGGCGCCGGGTACAGAGTACATGGAATGAAAAGGAACCTGAGCGGGAGATATCCATTCGATATTAATAGAACACCTCGGGATCCTCCTTGTTACGTTTTGTTCGTTACATGATTGGTTGCAGTCCGCCCCTTGCTAACTAAGTTAACTAGTTATGACTAAGCAGAGTTTTCCATTCTTTGGGTTATTTAAGGTAGCTGCCGTCCCGCAGAGAGTTCGCCCGAAGTCATCCCGCTGAGTCTAGGGATCCTTATTCACCATCGCCTCTCTAGGGCATCGTTACATTGGAGGCTTCACGGCAGACACCATTAACCCGAATCTCATTGCAATCTTCGCAGCTCTGGGGCATCTCTCCAAGTGTTCATTTTAACTGTGCTGCAAGTGCCCCGCACTCCATACTCGGTAACTAAAATGTGTCTTGTCAACGCATCATTAGAATGGTGCTAATATATGTTTAGCTCTCACCCACACTTTACAGAACTGGAGGCTTTAGTTGTAGCTACCTGCGTACTCTGCAATGGCTGATTCAGACGCCGTGGACCCCTTTACTCCTAAAGGTACTATATGGCCAAATCTCAGGACTCTAATATAAACATACATACCGTAGCCTCAAATGCTAATTCAAGTTCAATTAACAGAGGGCTATGGCCAGGAATGTGGATATCCTTTGGTCCCAAGGATGCATCCCATTCGCTTGGATGAGAGCCGTGTATTAAAACGGAAATTTGACGATTCTGGAGAGAGGCAAGCAATGGAGTTGATTGCTAAGACAACAACCATTCCTGTTCCAAAGGTTTTTGAGGCGCGGTACGTCGATAGGGAAGAGGGTAAGAATTTTTATATTGTGATGGAATATATACCCGGCAAGCCTCTAAATGTCGCTTGGAATGACCTAAGTGAGAGTCAGAGAAAAGCTACCTGTCTCGAAATCGATGGATATCTTGCTCAACTTCGAAAGCTGACGGGCGATCGAATTATGGCAGCAGATGGTGGTGCACTAGACGTAGGCCTCTATCAAAGGCGTTATCTAGGACCTTATGATACTGAACAGGAGTTTCATCATGCTTTGGGCAAGGGTGAGCCTCATGACTTGGGCAACAACCATACCATTCATTTTGCCCATGCAGACCTAGCACCCAGAAATATCATAGTCGATGATACAGGCCACATCAACGCCATCGTTGACTGGGAACGTGCAGGGTGGTATCCCGAATACTGGGACCTTGTCCGGATGTATACCGACCCCCCTCTTAAGCGCGAGATGAATGGCTATACCAAACTTTGGAAAACCCTCTTCACTCGCACGTACGAAGATGAATGCAACGCAATGGTGGATCTGGTTCAACGGACAATACCTCCATATCCGGATGGAGTTAGGAGTGAACGGCGTCCTAGTGTTTTAGCCTCGTATTCCTCTCATGCGGAGGAGTTGCGCAAGACTCTTGAGGCAAAATTTGGATAAACGTATCAAAGCTTTGAAGCTATCGTCTTTATAAATTATCTTCTTCCATCAATGACTGACTACGTAGCCTTGAGTGTCCTGTTCAGTTAAAACTCGTCCATTGGCGTAGTTATGTCATCTTGTTACGATACCTCTGTGAAATGCTCTGATGCCTTTTCCACCATCAAGTGAACACGCATTACTTGAATGATACCCATTCAATGACTTCTGCTTGCACTCAGCATGGGGACCGGGAGTGTAAAGGCACACATCAAATGGGATTTAGGATTACACTGCTAGCTAGAGAGCCAACCGGAGCATGAAGATCCTCTACTCGCTAGCCTCATGGTCTTTCCTTTCTACTTCTGTTTATGCCTTTCTGACGGTAACAGCCCCCTGAAGCCCTCCTCTTCGCCTGTCATTTATACAAATAGACTTACTCAGCAGCAATGTCAGAGTTTCCTATTTGGGAAAACACAACGACATCTCTCTTCAAGGGAAGGCGAGAAGCTGTTAACGATGGCGGCTCCGGTCGAGGCGAAACAACCGCCCAGCATGAAACATTCATCGCCCAGCAATGGTGAAGCCGACGCTCTGTATTCTTACTTGTGTACCTACGGCTTTCATGAAGCACTAATGTACCCGTTGTTTACGCTGTCAGGCGGCGAGAATGCCATTAAGCAGTGACGAACTAGAGGCACCATTATTATCCAGAGAAAGACCTTCTATCAACATCAATACCTTGTCTACAGAAGCTGAACCTCTCAGACAATCAACCCAGTCCCCTCTTATTACCCCAGCTTCTCCTACTGACACTGAACCTTCGGCTTTGTTTTCACCTGCGGACTCTCACCGCAGCCAACGTACAGCTGCCAGCAGTATTTCTAGCAACGATGTGTTTTTAATCCAGGACCTTGAAGATTCTTTTGGACTGGGGGTGGATACGGAAGATGTTAGAGCATCTCATACAACCTCATCAATGCTATCTTACAACCCCCTGAGATCTCCAGACCGTTTTTTGCCCATCAGGGATCCACACAACCCATCATCCTTACCATTTAGGCTGTCCAGACATCCAGCTCTTCTCTCGCCGGTCGAACGGTCTCGGCGGCTCCATGACCCTGCCAATATCTTTACATATCCTTATCAGGCCGTTCAAAGAGGCGTCGAAATCGGAGATCCTAGAATATCACCTCGCCAACTACCTCGCTATATAAACCATGGCCTTCTTAGTGAACATCCATCCAATCCTGGTGAAATTGCGCACACTAATAGGTCCAGAGCTTATGCGGTTTGGAGCTTCCAAGGAGGCCTAGGAGTCCGACCTTCTCCTCGTAATATGGTGTGTGATGGACGGGGGGGTCTCTTTGGGAGCGGCACTGTAGCTCCTCTCTATATTGCAGACTTTCTCACAGACAGAAGCCAAATACAGGATGATCTTGCATATGGAACACGTCTCGCTTACGCAATAAATGTTGACCACGCAGCTCGGGTTCTACATTCAACTCCACAAAGTCCGCTTCAAGACAAGCGTATTCCATCTTTTAACTCTCCTGACAGATGGAGCAATAATGTCTGGAAAACTGATGATTCAAAGTCTCGTAAGTGTGAGTGTTGGAGAGATCTCTATACTCTTCCCCATGTAGACTTGACCATATTGTGAAATGAGAATATAGCTATCTCGCTAACTTATTCAGCAGTTTCCCCTAAGAAGCTGGGTCCCAAGCCACCTCGTCCGGTACCATCAACTCCCTTTCGTGTTCTTGATGCACCTCTCCTCAGAGATGATTTCTATTGCTCTACATTAGCGTATTGCTATACAGCTCGGGTGCTTGCCGTCGGCCTCGGACACAGGGTTTACATATGGTCTGAGGGAACAGCTGTGAAGCACCCTCCATTCAAGGACTATCCACCTTCGAACTATGTTACTTCTTTGTCGTTCTCATCACATACGGGCGGACATAGTATCCTGGCCGTTGCTCGTCAGGGCGGTCGAGTCACTTTGTGGAGCACCTTCGACTCTGAACCTCGGTTTGAATTGAAACTTCCGCACGGCGCATCCAGTGCCTGCTTCAAGGGATGCACCACACGCAGGACATCAAGCCGGGATGGTTTGACCTCAGTTGACGTGGAGGAGCTTGCTATCGGAGACGAGTTTGGGCAGGTTTGGTACTATTCCGTGGAATGGACAAATGCCAAGTGGAGGAAACGGTACAATTGGAATGGTGCAATACGTCTTCTCGCAAAGATCTCGGCTCATACCCAGCAGGTTTGTGGTATAGCATGGTCTCCCGATGGAAGATTCTTGGCCACCGGCGGGAACGACAATATTTGCCTTATTTTCGACGTCGTTGAACTCACTAAGAAGACAGGATCCGGAGAGTGCGTTGTCAACTCACCTGGAAAAGCGAGGAGTTTAAGTACCGGGTCTACTCTTTCAAGTAAGTTATGCTTACTTCAGTCCTATTTCCACTGTGGGAATTCATGCGGCAGCACTCTATCTGCTGGAACGAGTACGCCGGAAACGGGGGCCCCTAGCCCTCCCAAAGGGGCTGTGGAGGACCAACCTTCCACAAATCCAATTTATATCCCGGCGGAATCAGAGAAGCACAAATTCACTCATGCTGCCGCGGTGAAAGCAATCGCTTTTGCTCCATGGCAACCAACCCTTGTAGCGACGGGTGGCGGCACGAACGATCGATGCATTCGATTTTTCCACGCTATTTCTGGCGCATGTCTAGCAATTATCAATGTCCACTCACAGGTAACCAGTTTGATATGGAGCAAAACCCGTCGTGAGATAGCTGCAACCTTTGGCTACGCGTCTCCCGAACATCCTTACCGGATAGCAGTCTTTGCATGGCCAAGCTGCCAGCAAGTCGTCGCTATTCCTTGGGCGGTAGCTACAGGACATGAACGCTTTGGGAGTTTGAACCCAGGAGATTGTGGGCGCGCACTTTGGGCAATCAGCTACCCTGGTGGGCCAAACGAAATGGCTCGTCAGCTTGCTGATCCTGTATCTCACGGACATCGTGGACACGGCCCAAATAGAAGTGATACCAGTTCCGATGACTCCCAGTCATCTGCCTCCAACAAAGAAGGGGATACATGGTGGTCACGCACGGCCGAAGAAGGATGTATCATTGTGGCGTCCAGTGACGAGTCTGTTAAATTCCACGAGGTCTGGAGCGGGACGCCCAAGAACATCGCTAGCACCAGCGGAGTATTGGGCGGGAGCGCAATCTTAGAGAGTCTGGAGGGTATTGAGAAGGAGACGGAAGTTATTAGATAGGACGGGTATATGCAGCCGGTCGGTAGTACCGGGTACGATGTCCCTATTTTTCAACATTGCCACGAAAGAAAACCCCCTGAGCAGCATCCTCTGTGGGCGTCAAGCGTGCATGTACGACGTCTACTATACCTTTGGAACCTAAAGTATGCTGCTTTAAATATCATTAATTATTATCATTTTCATTTGTTTGCCGCCGGATAGAAAACTATAGACAAGCCTTTTGACCTTTTCAACCCTGGTATAGTGGTTGGTTTGCTCCGAGCGATTTAAGTTTCCGCAATCAATTTGACAGACACGTAACTAGCGAGCTAAAGCCGACGGGGCGACTCAGTAGAAGAAAAAAGACTACTAACTTTATGATGCAATAAAGAGATATTTTTGTAAGTCAATGGACACAAGCAGTAGACTCGTAGGCACAGAGACAAGACATGATAAGCAAGTAACAAACAATTCAGTGGAATCGACCTCGCTTCCCTCTGACTTGAACAATTGTAATCGCCCAATGGATACATGCCAAAAAAAAAAAATAGTATCAAGAAAAAAATATAATCCAGCCTATAAAATGATGTAAAAAGAGAACTGGAAAGAGAAGAAGCCATTCCATTCTATACGGATTTTTAACCTCCATTTATTGTCCTTTTCTTATATCTCCTCACTCCGGTGTTTAGGAGAAAAACCGCTTCACTTTCTCTTCGATTTTGTGGCAGGGGTATCAGATACTTCAGACTCTTCTTCATCTGAATTAGCAAGGAACTCCAACAGACTTGCTTCTTCCTCATAGTTGGGCTCTTTATCACTATCTTCTTCTTCGTCATCATCTTCGTCTTCACCATCATCAGAAACTTCTGCCTCGTCATCGAGAAGTTCCTCCTCCTCATCTTCTTCATCGTCTTGTTCCCCTTCTTCGTCGTACTCGACGCCATTCGTCATGGGCATATCTTCGTCCCCTTCTTTGTCGGCAAACATATTATCCTCTAGGATACCGCGGGCCTCCTTACGGCCGGGGACATGCTCATTTTCGGCAACAAGTTGCATTAATCCTGCGTCATCGTCATCGTCCTCATCACCTTCAACTATATCTTCTTGTCCTTCAACGTAGATGACTCGTTCTTCGTCAGGATCAATGACACGGCCGTCTCGGCCTTGCAGGCTTTGTCTCAATGTGAGTTGGGCTTCAAGCATATCCAGCTTTCCCTTAAGAAGTAAGAGGGAAGGTAAACTTGCCGAACGTTGCTCCATGACTTTGAACAGTGAATTGATTTTCTTGAGAACATCTTTGTTGGAGGCGATGGAGCCACCATGGGCAATACATGTCCATTGAACCCACATTAGTAGATGTCCGTACCGACCTGGACGAGTGGATAGACGCTCAGCTAGTTTTTGCAACAGGGTAGCTGCAAGGGATGAATCGAGCCGCTGAACGGTTGTCTTTACGATAGCCATGTCTTTTGTGTGGAAACAGGATTCTAATAGAGCGTTGTCGTTTGTTTTGAGAGATTGAGAGAGGACGGTTGCTAGGGAGAGGCCGACGGGGAGCTGATGAGATTCTGTGGGGAGAGCTTTTGATTGAAGCAGGGAGGTCTTATCCATGAAGTCTGCGGAGACACTGATGGTCTGGGGAGCAGAAGCCAGCAGCTCACCAAACGAGGGTTCAGCTGCATCCTCCGCATCTGTGTGGTCTGCCATTTCAACATCTTCATTGGTAGTTGTTAGGGCATTGGAAGTTGGGTCTGCATCATCCAGCTCTTCATCTGAGTTGTCGTCGTTTTCCGACTTTTCGTCCTCGACCTCATCATCGACGCCTTCGGCGAATCCGCCTTGCTCGACAATGGCATGACTCTCATCCACATGAGACTTGCCTAGATCCTTGACACCGTTCATCATGGCGTTACCAATGTTAGAGGAGGACTTGCCGCGCGCCAACTCCGTTTCACCACTGTACATCAGCTCCTGCGTTGTTTCATCAAGCCACGGTATCCTATCAAAGACCAGGTCTATGCCTCCCTCAACCCAAACAACTACTAGGTCCGCACCATCAAAGCATACGGAGACCACGGGAACAGGTGAGCGTGCCTTATCAGGCTTAACCAGCTTGATGACAGCGTCTGGCCGACAGGTCATGGATTTTCGGAGCGATTTGAGACTAGCGCCAGCGGTACCGGATGCAGAGCTCTCACCAAATTTATGGAAAGGATTGGAGAAGATCTCGATTGCGCCATCACGAGTGACAACAGCTAGCTGTTGTTTTTGGCCTAAGTTTTCGGTCTCGTTGCTCGCCTTATGAGAACCAGGATATAGGGAAACTAGGTCTATTTCCTTATCCGCAACCAAAGAGCCAAGAAGCTGTTTATTCTGGGAATTGAAGACGTTGATATAGCGGTCAGAATCAGAGGCAAGGAATGGTCCTGATAGATCGGTGTAGTCGGTGTTGGAAGAAATGAGAGAATGAACGACATCCTTCATCGAACTGAACGGCGGTTCCGAATCGCTAGCTTCGTTGTCTGCGCTGATTAGGTAGGGTGTTTGAGAAGCACATAGCACCGGTGGGTTTGCTGGTACTGGTCGAGCAAGTGCAGATATGGAAGTTGACGGCAAGGAAATCACTCTGTAAACAAATTAGCTCTGGATATCACAAAAACAACGAGGCAAAAGTACACATACCTCACAATGCTTCCCTTGCGCAAATTCCACTGTACTAGCTTCCCATCACCGCCAATACTCCATCCTTCCTGCGCAGGCTTCTTTGGGGTGAATTTGAAATCTCTGATCCCCTTCTCATGCCCTCCGGTAAGAACACCAGTGACCTTGTCCTCAGAAGGGCAATACATCCTAATTTCAGATGTGCTCGTGCCGAACGCAACGACAATGGCACCTGCATCGTCTTCCGCTCCAGCAGCAATACCATTGGCACCAGAATGCCTCTTGCGCCTCTTTTTCATCGGCTGGTCACCCCGCGAAGCTTCCCCATAGTATCCCCAGTCTAGAGAAGTAACTGATTCCTTGGGATTAACCGCATGTTCGCACTGGAGACGGCCCGAAGAAGTGCTGTGTATCCGTATATGGTGCGCATCTAGACCCTGGATGACGGACGCAAAGAGCGCCAATTGGAACTCTGTCGGGGAAAAGGCTGAGCGAATGATGGATGATTTCTTGACTGTCACAGTCGCAGAGGCCGCGGAAGGGGCAGCGGCAGAGGATACCCTTGATACGGCCCGAGATGAACTCTTCTTCCCCATGTTGAGCAAGTTGTATAAATCTTGGGATACTTTTGTAGTATATCAAGAACAAGAGAACAAGTTCTTCCAGAGTCCGTCCGCAGCGTCTATGGGCAGTCTGAGCTCCAAGCAAAACGAATGAATCCCGCTCCGTAAGAACTGGGAGAACTTCCGACCTTTGTTCGTGGTCAACGAACTCGCCTGCTCACGATGTCTTTTTCTACTGCAGCTGCTACCATTTTTTTTCTTCCGCTATATAAAAAAAAAAAAAAAATTAAAGGTGATACCACGTGAGTTTAGCTGCTTTAGGATTAGCTCAGCAGGCGTTTAGGCCAGGCGGGTTTATATAATTCCGTCATCCCGAAGGTTTTACTGGATGGAGGCTTCTAATTGGATGATGAATACATCATCGACTTCCAATCCGGGTTATGTAATATGCACGTGACGATGATTTTGCACAGTTAAAAGACCGATGGCGCGTAATCTTCAGCTCTTCTTCTCTTCTTCTTCCTGATGCTTCTCCTACGTATCTGGACTTCACAAAGGTGCCGGCTACCACAGATACACGACTTGTGGGCTATGTTATACCATCTGCCATCATACCGTCAAGGTCTCTCTTTATGTGGTTCTCAGATGCTACGGTATGCGGCGAATGGCTAAGCCATCCATGTATCGGAATGCCCCAGGAATCAGCTCATAGAGTCTGCCCTTAAGACTCCGGGAAGAAATCGTTGTGGAATATTAATTTCGCAGGCTGGAAGCAACTTGTTTGCTTTCTTTCCTGGGGTTTTGGCGGTCGCTTTTTTTTCAACAAGGGGGTTGGAGGGCTAAATACCCCCCCGGGAATTAAAAATATCCCCGGGAGGCAGGAAAAGCAAAAAAAATCTGACATAAGGGGCTCCAAACCCCCCCCCCCCCCCCCCCTTATGACGAAACATGTTACGGGAAAAATTCAATAGAGTGTGCGACTGCCATGAAAAGAAGAAAATATAAGACCAAGGCGAGAGAGCACTGCAGATGAGATTTATGATCTATGCTGCAGGACAAGAAACATGCATCTGGACTGGTCGAGATAGGCATCGCCGTGTATGGAAGACTCCAGCGCCTGTCGCCGCCTGCTTCTCCCACTCGCATCGTCGCAGCAGCAACAGAGATCAGAGACAGGAAGAAAGGAAGCAAAAAAGCAGGAGGTAAACAGGGCGTATTGCGATACAGCGTAATGTACGCAGGCAAGCACGCAAAACACGCCCGATGGGGGCGCGTCGATACAATACCATACGGCGTCCTTTCAGGTAGAACGTCCCAAAACAGACAGAAGTGGGACCAGCGTATCCAATGGGAGCACGACGCGTCATCATGTAGCCAATCAGGAGCGAGAGAATCTCCACTTCAGGGACCGCCCACATTAGTTCGGCCATCCGAGGCTAGCGGCAGGAGGCTGCGGTGATTTCCCAGCAGCACGAACGAGGCCCGTACTTATAAGGATTCCTCGCACCCCCCCCCCTCCTTCTTCCGACCTTCTTCACTCTTTTCACGCTTCCTGCTCTGCTCGCATTGCCCCCGTGTTCCGCCCCTTTCATACCCTTGTTGCCACGCACCGCGATAAAAGCCTGCCTTCGCTCCCGTCTAGCAGGCCCACCCACGACTGACACGTCACACACCGCCCACCGCACTACACCCACCACACCACCGCTCCTTACGCGCACGCACTGGCATTCCTCTTTCCTTTCTCTTTCTAGAAAAGAGTAACTTTCTTATCTTAGGCAAGCTTCGTTGCTTATCTAAGCTTGTATCCGACGCATCACGGACTAAGTGATAACGTAAGCACCCTTTTTTCTCTATCTTGTTCTTCAGTTGCCGCCGCGCTTAAGTTCGCGCCAACCACGGTTCCTCCTCCAATAAGCTGGCCCGTCCTGCTGGTAAAAAGAGTGACGATATCGGCGAAATCTGCGTCTATATAAAGGCCTGTCCTCTTCCACTCTTCTTCCAATCTCCTCGGCCTGCCTCCTAAACTTAATCCAGACCTCATTCATCACCTCAAGCGGTTCGGACCCTGCCATATCACAGAAAGTGACTGCCACCGATACCTCTACCCTCCTTGTTTGGAAAAGGTATATATCTTGATTCGAGGGTATATATCCTGGTCCTCGTCGTGTGTTCTACTTGATACCCTGCTGTTTGCTATCTTCACCTTCACAGATGATTGAGCAGGACAGCCTGCCACAATACCTGTGTTCCTTTTATTCTCTGAGTGTGCTTGTATTCTATACTTCACCGCAGTGTGCTTTGAATCAAGTGAAGCACTTAATTGATACCCAACTCACTGCTTTCTCACCCCTTCTGTCCTTTTGTTTCTCTCACTTTCTCTTGCCCTCTGTCGCGCCTTTATCTTCATCTTCTGGATTCCCCCCCTCCCCCTTCTTTTGCTTCTACTTTCTAAAAAAGCTTGAACTCATGACTTACTTCATGTCTGCTTTACCAATAGTCATTTCTCATCTACTACGCACCACTAGCTATCATCGAGAGGCACCCTCATCTCATCATCAACTCTTTGCTCCTAGCGGCACATTAGACGCGTCATATCACGACCCGAGGGCCCTTTGGTATCTATAAGTATGGGAACGCCGCCGAATGAAGGCACCGAAGCTATTCCCAACCCTCTCCAGCTAGATTCACAGTCCCAGCCTGAAGCTCAGGCTGATTTAAACACCAAAATGTATGTTGCTGTTGAGTCGGGCTCCTCATACTTCTTTCTTGATCTATCATTTGGCTAACGACTGCTACAGTGAATCTAGTTCAAAGGGTTTGCCTGATAGGGTCAAGCCAGACTTCGAGCAAGTGGAAACTCCCGCTGCAAACGGAAGTTCCCAGCCACAGCTGAACGGCCATTCATCCATATCAAACGGCGTGGAATCAAAGCCAGACGTACCCTCAGAGGCTGATCTACTATCCCCTGTCGACCAGCCGTCCAATCATAAAACCGCTGGTGTGGAATCGGAGACTGCGGCCTTACATCTAGGCGAGGCTACCAGAAACCAGGATGTGAATGGACAGCCGGAGAAGCGTCCTGCGGTAGAGTCCACTGACCTTGATGCCAACATGGATGCGTCAAAGGAAGATGTTAACAAGGGAGATACTGCGAACGCGGATACAGCGATGGGTCAAGATGATGAGATCGACCCTCTATTCTCATCAACTGAAGCTCCTGAGCCAGCTCCATCTTCAGAGAAAGCCCCAGTGTCCGAACCAGCTCCAGCAACGGCGCCAACCTCAGCTCCTCCAGAAGGGCAGAAGAAGGAACAACAGGACATGGACCATGACATGGATGTCGCCCCTGCTCCGGTAGTATCACAGGCTGAACCTTTGAAGACAGAGGACCATACAGCGCCTACAGCAGTGCCTGAAAGCAGAGAAAAAGACAAGGAAGACCACGTTATGGAAGATGTGCCTGAGGTAGCTCCGTCATCTACTGGAGAGGCAGCCACTACAAAGGTCTCTCGGGAACGCGAAGATGATGACGATGGACGGGCAGCCAAACGTACAAAGACCGAAGACATTAGCTCTGATCACCCAGTGGCCGAAGCTTCAGCCCTTCCACCTTCATCTTCTGGAGAGCCTGCTCCTCCTGCTCCTCCTGCGACTCCCGCCGCTGGCACTACGAATGGCGTTCCAGACCTACACCGGGACCTGACCAAGGTTCAGGTAAAATTTCTCATCCGCACAATCCAGTCCTTGAGGCGCATTGGTGATGGTCAGATGTTCAAGGCTCCTGTCGATATAGTCAAGCTAAACATACCCACGTACTATGACTTTGTCAAGCATCCGATGGACCTGCAGACTATGGAAGGCAAGCTCAAATCAGAACAATACCGAACACTCCAGGACGTCATAAACGATTTCGAGCTCATGGTTAACAATTCAAAAACATTCAATGGGCCTACTCATGTGGTCTCACTGGCAGGTGATCGTCTGTACGAGCACTTCCAAAAACATCTCAAGAAGATGCCTAGCCACGATGCACCTGAAATCACTCCCGCCGAAAAGAAGAGCAAGAAGGCTGCAAGTGTGCCAACTAAAACACAACCATCTCGAAGAGAGACACGACCACCTGTTGCAGCACCCGCACCCCCTCCTCCGGCTGCTGCTGCCCCCGCTGCTGCCCCCGCGGCTCCACGGGCCAGTAATGCTGGATCCCCAACTTTTGCACTTGGTCCAGAAGGTCTCCCCCTTATCCGTCGTGACTCGACTACGGCTGACGGCAGACCGAAGAGATCCATCCACCCACCTAAGAATCGAGACCTACCTTTCTCCATGAAGCCCAAGAAAAAGAAGTTCCAGCAAGAACTTAGATTCTGCCAGGAGGTTCTTAATGAACTACACAAGCAGAAATACTACTCACACACCTCGTTTTTCTACTTCCCTGTCGACCCAGTTGCTCTCAATATCCCTAGCTATCACAATGTAATTAAGAAACCGATGGACTTGCAGACAATGCAAAAGAAGCTTTCGGAGGGCCAATACGAGAACGCAAAGGAATTCGAGGCAGATATGCGTCTGATTTTCAAGAATTGCTATAAATTCAACATCGTTGGCGACCCCGTGTACACTGCTGGAAAGGCTACTGAGGCGCTCTTCGATAGCAAATGGAGTCACAAGGATGAATGGGTACACAAACATGAACCTGCCTCAGGCAATCAGTCAGCCGGCACCTCCGAAGAATCTTCTGAGGAAGAAGAAAATGAGACCGACGATGACCAGGAAAAACTGTCCATGCTGCAGAAACAAATTGCAGAAATGTCAAAGCAGGTTGAGGCAATCACCAAGAAGAAAAAGACCCCCCCTGCTTCGAAGAAGCTGAGCAAGTCTAAGAGTAAAAAAGATGTGAAGAAAGGCGCTGCCAGAACGACCGACAAGAAGGATAAGAAGGGCGGCGGCTCAAAGGTTAAAGGAGAGAAGGGTGGTCGCTGGGTCACCTACGAGGAGAAATCCTTGATCTCAAACGGAATCAGCAGCTTATCAGAGAATAGAATGCAGGAGGCATTGACTATTATTCAGAAACACGTGCCTTCTCTTCGGGTAAGCATCTCCCCGTTTTATATCCCGTTTTCTTAATATAAGATTTCCCCCCATATTAACGGTACTCTTGCAGGGCGTGGGCGAGGATGACATCGAACTTGATATCGACGAACTTCCAAACCATGTTCTTGTGATCCTCCTCAAATTCGTCAAGAAGCATGCTGCTCCTTCTATTCTGGAGGGCTACGAGGAGCCAAGTGAACCAGAGCCTCTCCCTTCCTTGCCCCAGCCAAAACCCAAGAAGAGCAAGCCAATGAACAAGACAGAGCAAGAAAAGCAAATTCGTTCTTTGCAGAGTAACCTGTCTAAGTTCAAAGGCGGCGCTGGCGCTGCAGTGGCGACTACCGGGGGACCTTCTTATGAACAGGGTAAGTTTACCAAAAATAGGACTCAGCAGTTAAGTCTAGATGTTGGAGCTAACTCTGTTACCCTCTAGCTCCCAAGTCCGAAAGCAGCGGTGACGACGAAGACTCGGAAGAGAGTGAAGAAGAGTAGACAAGCCATGCTCTCACTCCATCGACTCTTTCTTTCCATTGTGCGTGGGCAAGAAAATCATGATGTTGAGACCATGTCACTCATCTCTGAGGTTTTCTATTCCTGTTAAGAATACATACATACAACATGTATCTATCAGCAGGGATAAGAAGGTCCACCTTCACGCCAATCAAACACGGGTTGCCACACCAAGCCAGCAATTCAATGTCCAACAACGACGTTTTCTCCCCTTCTCTCTCCCATGACATACCATCTTTCTACCATCCCGCACAATCTCTCCAAATCATCGCAACTAATGTTCATGTAATCAATTTAGACTTCATTCCCGTTCCTGTCATTTTGAACTCACTTTCTCCCTTTCTACCGTCTTCTGCTTTTTCAACTCAGCGCAAAGAAGGGACTCGGACATGGAATTCACTGCATCTGGCTATCGAAAGCACTCTTTATCTTCTCCCCCATCTGTATGTGTTTACGGAATTTTTTTTTGTTATTTCTTACTTCCTTTCCTCCTTTGTTGCCTTTCCCTTTTGCCCGGAGTTTCGACGTTAGGTTTGTCTAGTTTGCTATTGGTACCTAATTTTTTCCTTCTTGTCAGTTTTGTTCCTTCCTTTTCTTGTTGGTCCTATTTTTTGCGTTAAATTCTGGGGAGTTGGCTGTTGTTGATATCCAGGGGAGCAAATCGGCTGCGTGAAGCCAAAAACCATGCACTAAAAGATGTACCAAGACATTTGTGATGTACGATTATGATAAAATTGATTACGGCTATTAATCAAATCTCTTGTTCTGGTTGGCTGGTTACGTGTGTAATTTAAACATATTTATTTCAAAATTATCTCCTTTTATTGGTTGATTTCTTGTATTTCTCTACTAGTCAGTATCAGATTACAAAGATCATTATTTAGCCGTAAGTTACCTTAATAGGAAATGAGTTGATGAGTCATCAACACAAATTACACATGACCTCTATATAATCCATGAAGTATCATGTGATCTCCTCGATAGATTAGAAAATGACATAATAAAGTTAATCTTATCAAAAACGCCACCAAGAAATTTTGACTGAACAAAAAGCCTTCGTCACGCTTAAAGAATACACTTCGGTCCTCGCAGATTTCTATCATATTGTCAGGAATAATAGACGGTGCTATATCATGGCGGACTCAGTTTCTATCTACGATGAGATTGAAATCGAAGACATGACCTTCGATCCTGTGTTGCAAATATACCACTACCCATGCCCATGTGGGGATAGGTTTGAAATTGGCCTCGCAGACCTGCGCGATGGAGAAGACATCGGTGTCTGTCCTAGCTGTAGTCTGATGATCAGGGTCATCTTTGATGAGGTGAGATTTATCTGGACGCAAACTGGGGTCTGCGGCTAACATGTGTCTGTGCAGGCTGATTTGCCAAAGGATGACAGCGGCAATAATGGCGGAGTGGCTACTGCTATCACAGCGTAAATGATGCAAGGGAAAGACTAAATGTCGAAGACGGATACGACCGAACAAGCCGTCACTACTTTCGTCGAGACTCTCAGATTACGATGGGAAGACAAGACCTCGCTGAGACATACTACTACTAATATCGATTCCACTCGTGAAAGACGCCGAGCCATGCCGCGAGTATGAAAGAAGAGAGCCAGCTCCGATGCTAGGCCTGCCCGAGCAGGAGCATATAGTATACAGTATGTGGAAAAGCTCCTGTACGGTTTTCGGGAGATATAGACCTCATGTCTCGAGGCAAGCGGGGATATGGCCGGGGAAGAAGTCCGAAGAAGCGGAGCACATGAGCCTTTGTCGTACAAAGTGTTGTAACGTTCACAATGTGCCATAAGCAAAAATAGCATGTACATGTACAAATGTGTTATGATCTTCACAATCAAACAACGTCTAGCTGGATGCTGACAAGTGCAAATCCTGAAGCCTTACAACAGGCGACTCTTCATTCATGGATCTTTGCTCTCAACTCCAGGTTCAGCTCTGCGTTCAAAATATCTGTCAGGTTCGTCCCATCACGGAGGTATATCCACTGTCCACCGATATAATCCCGAGTGCCTTCTTTCTCGGTCATCTCGTCGCCTTGGACAACCCAGTCGAACCGCTTGGGGCCGGATATTGGCGAGCTGAGCCATATCTGCTTGTTCGGGGGCTGCTTGTTGAGGACGTAGGTGCCGATCCCAGGAACGACGACGTTGAGAACTCCGGCCTATGTCAAACGTGTGTAAGTAAAGAGCGGTTAAATTCTTCCTTCCGGACAAATGAGCTTCACATACACTGTACTCGGCTTCCACCTCTGATCCTTGCTCTTCCTGGGTCCTTTCTATCTCTGCCATCAGGGCATTAATATATTCCTCAGAGCGATCACGGTATTCTGGCTCTGATATGTATGACGCTTCGGTGACCTGTTTGACACCGATGTAGTTGGGCTCAGGATTTGGTGGAGCAGGATCTGAGGAGCCCGGTGTGATTCCCTTGCACGAAGCAGGCGACGAGCAGAATGATCTCTGTGGAATTGATCGGGAGACTGTCGGACGGATTGCCCTTGACTGTATACGAGTTGTTGCGGTTGTGATGCGAGAACGATGCGCACGAGACGAGGAGAGAAGCGAGCGAAGAGCTCCTCGGCCGACGGCTTTGTATAGCATTGTGACAGTGACAGGCTCGTACCTCTACAGGCGATGGTATCGATTGGTTCTTCGTGTGCTGCAAAGTAATTGACGGGCTGTAGTTGGTGAGAAGTTGACTTTGCTGGTCGTTGTTGTTTTTGCCTGTGGAGAAAAGACGGAGCTAGAAAGGTTGCGCAAGATGACGTCGATGCTCCCGGATCAACAACAACAACAACACCAACTTCGGCGCCTTACACTCCAACATCCAACAAGGGACCGTTGACAGGCAGCTTTCACTCCTAGTCGGCGCAGATCCACTTGAGTCTGGGCTAGCTGTGTCGAACACGCTTGACTATGTGGATAATTAAGTCTTATTGTCAGGCCATTCTTGCATCTGGAACCAAGCGCCTAGTTCAATGATAAAACACCACTTCCGGCAGCTAATCTCTCATACCACGCGTGTTCAGGGGACTCGGGCATATCAGATCACTTACTCTAGCGGGATGGGTAATTCCAGAAGACCCGGACGGGACGGCGGAGGCCAGGGGAATAACAATAGGGCCAGCAGCAAGCCGCCATTGACGCACTTTCTCTGCATACCCCTGATAAACGAACAGTCGATATACCAGCTTCAAAGCTCCCTGGCTGAATTCAAATCCTTAATTCCACTTGTCCCTCCTTCTGGCCCAGCGGCAGGCCATGCGCCTGACGCACCACTCGTGCCGTATGGAGCTCTGCGGCCGCTCGGAACGCTGCATTTCACGCTGGGGGTAATGAGTCTAACCAGTCAAGAACGGCTGGATGAAACGCTGTCTTTTTTCCATTCGCTTGATCTGGCCTCTATAATGCAAGAGGTGGAGGAAGAAGCAAAGTCCAAAGACGAAAGTGATGCAAAGGGACCCCTATCAATCGACTTGGTATCGCTGCATGCCATTCCAAGAACCCGGGCTGCTACTGTTCTACATGCCTCACCATTGGATACCTCAGGCCGGTTGTATCCGTTTTGCGTGAAGTTGCGAGATAGGTTCATTGAAGCCGGATTTATGCATCAAGACATGGTTAAGGCCAGACCTCGTAATAAGGTGGTTCCAGGCGAAAGCTCCAAGGACAACGAGGGCTCCGATGAAAATGGAGACCAAGGGGAGGAGGAGGAAGATGCCAGTGTATCGACTACACCAACTGTGAACCCACTTGTCCCAGAATTCAAACCGCGTCCATTGCTTCTTCATGCGACCATCGCTAATACCATTTACCTTGGCAAACGAAAGCCGGCGTCCCAACAGGGTGGCAAAGGTCCAAGGGGTAAAGACAAGTCATTAGTGAAATTTGATGCAACTGAGCTGCTGGAGAAGTTTGCAGGAAGTCGGCATAAACAACACTCTGCTGGTTCCAAGGACGTCAAGGGCAAGGATGCTGAAGTTGAACGTGAACCGTTCATATGGGCTAAGGGGGTTTCAATTGATAGGGTATGTATTTGCGAGATGGGTGCGAAGCCAGTACCCCATGATGAGGCAAAGGGCGGGCCAGTACTGGGACAAGAATATAGAATAGTCGATCAGCGTCGGCTTGATTGAGGATCACTTTTGGCATACTTAATGGGATAATAGAGGATATGTTCAACATTTACTGGTTTTCTGATAGATTGAATAAACGGATATTATTCTTATTTAAACCCATCTCCATCCTGCAAATCCACCTAGTGTATGTTCTAATTCACACAGTTGGCCCTTTTGAACACGGTAACTCCATGAATGCAGTCCCATCAAGCAAACGCCCGGTACTTCGTCCATCACTGAAAGCCGCGATGGAGAAGACCTGATATAAGTAGTTAAATAAACATATTAATAAAAAGCAAAACATATAGCCAAAAGATTTTGTGCCAATATATTCAAACGTCAGCTCCAAGTCACGTCACCCGAAAGGCATATGGCTCTATCTGACTCTTCCCATGAGTGTATCAGGGCCCATTTCAACAGATAGCTCAGCGGCCTTTGCCTTGATGGCGCTGACCATGGATCTCTCAAAGTCGTCTCTGCACCGCAACACAGCTTCAACCCAGGACAGCTGCAGATCCCAGTACTCGGTTTTGAACCCTTCGTAAACCACAACAACACCAGCTTTGTCTGCCTCGAGCAATCGAACAAGCCAATCGACAAGTCTCCATCGGTCCTTGATACCTCCGCCAAAGGAGTCGGGGAATTTCTGGAAAAAGCCAAAGACAGTAAGGATGTCGTCTTTGAATTTTTCGGTGTACGGGTCTTGACGGCGGAATTTGGCGCCCTTGTTGCGTACGCAAGAGAGGTAGTGGACCAGTAGCTCGTCGGAGATTTCTTCTACGAGGATATCACGTAGAGACGGGTGGAGGACGGCATGGTAATCGCTTATGTAGTCTTCAAAGGTAGAGATCATGCGCTTCATAGCGAACTCGCCGTACCATTTCTGGGTGAAGAATTCAGGCAGCGTGGTGCGGAAGTCGACGGAGAAAATCAGGTCGATGAAGACGGATATGCAGTGCGTGCCTAGATCGACGTATCCGTCTCGTAATACAGCGACTTCGTTGGCTGCTTGGGCAGTTAGGTATTTGTCTGTCACGAGCGGTTCGAAGTCACGGTTGAAACGGGTCAAGTGGCCTAGCTGGCCTGAGGCATCGTTGTCGTCAATACAAGCGATCTGGTCGTTTGCAACGGCGATGAGCCAGTCCTGGAACTGCTGGAGACTCTCGGGCTGGTCGATGGTGGGCGTTTTGTACTTTGCACATTCTTCGTCGAGCATGGTCTGCCACATTGACTGGCGGGTCTTGAGGGAGCGGAACATAGCATCTACCACGCCCTCGGCGACGTCTGTACGCTGGGAGGCGCCGGCAGCCTGAAGCTGTTCGTGAAGCATGCGCCACATGTCTCCGAGGGTCTTGGTGCGGAAGAACCCGTCTGGGTTGGTGTCGAGGGAGTCCATGTCACGGTCGAGGAATGCCCGTTTGTCGGTGTTGAACATGCGGTCCATCCATTCATCCAGGGCCTTGACGATGAGGTTACGCCAGTCTTGTACGAGTTCGCCTTCGCGGTCATCGAGGACGTTGGGAACGAGGTCTGATGCTTCCCATCCGAGTTTCTTCATTTTCTTATAGTACTTTTCCGACCAGTTGATGATGGCCAGCATGTTGGCAGCGGGCATCTGGGGGTCATCAACAAACTCGATAAGCCAGTCGTGCATCATGCGGTGGTATATGTCGGTGTATGTCTTGAATATCTTCCACTTTTTCGGCACCAGATTCTGCATCCCCTGCTGGACGGTGAACAGGTCATTGAAGAACCACTTGAAGCTCTTCTCCAGTCTGTCCGGGTCATCTAGGAATTGCTGTTTCGACTCTTCAAAGTTGGGCTGGGCGTACAGCTCGATGCTCTTGAGAAAGTTCTCCTTGTAACCCCTGATAGTCTTGGGCCCGATGTTCATAGACTTGAACCTGCTGGCGAGATATTCATGGTCCTTCTGCGCATCCTGCAGCGCCCTGACTTTGGCATCGTTCTTCTCTTCGTTCGCAATAACGACAGCGAGCCTGACGACCATGCTGCGGTTATCAGCCTGGATGAGCGGGATGATATTCATGCAGGCAGTGCCCAGGTGGTCGTCGAACCACTCAATGGCCGGGTCAAGCCCCTCAAACAGCTCGGTCAGGGTGGCCTCGCTGCTCTTATCCTTGGCCCTGCGTATCTGGTCCATGGCCTCGTCTCGGAAGTCCCGCAGACGCGAGAGGGCCATGTGTACGTTCAGGAGGTTGGGCTGGTTTTCCATGTCCATGTCGTCTTCCCGCAGCATGCGCTCTACCTCGGCCACGTCAGCATGAAACGTCTCGAGCCCCTTCTTCATGAAGAGCACCGCTTCGAAATTGCGCTGTATCTTGGCCAGCTTGTCTATCTGTGCGAAATCGCCGAGAGCAGACTGCGACTCGGCCCAAAGCCTGTCGATGCCCTGCGGCCCCATCTTTGCGTCCATGATCTGTCTCCTGCCTTCGGCCAGGTCAGCCAGGCTGCGCTGCACGAGCTCGAGCTGGTCCCGCAGCCCTTCTCGCAGCTGTGAATCGACATTTTCTTTCTTTCTGATATATTCCGCCTTGAGCACTGATATCTTCTCCAGGTCTTCGGGGTGCCGTAGCAGGTCCTCTAGCCGGGGCACCACCAGGCTTCCGTCCGAACCGTTTTCGTCCGCCATATCTGGCGATGTAGTAGAGGACGATGTCCGTGTGGACGTAGGAGGGGTATGTAGGATCAAACGGAGTCGTTCTTGTTCAGGTTTGCACGGGGGTTCACTGTCATGGTATGCCGGTGCCTGGACCGGGGGAGCAGAGCAGAGCGAGTCGCTGCTGGAGCTTGTCAGGGGCGGCGTGAGTGGCGGCGGCTCCGGCGAGGGCACAGTCACTGTTCGTAGCGTCGACAGTCGTCTAGGAGCAGCAGCTGTCCATCTAGAGTACTGTCTCTGTTGTTGCTGTAGTTGTTGCTGTGGTTGTGGTTGGCGGGCGATGTTGATATCAACGTCGACCGGACGAGAATCGCTGTCAATATCAACACTGGGCGTAGGCGCAGGTAACTCGACCTCGACCTCGACCTCTGTCTCCTGGATCTGTATCTGTATCCCACCTTTGGCTTCCTGCTGCTGCGGCTGTTCCGCGATCCCCTGAAGCTCTTCGTGCCGTCTGCGTATGCGACTCGATCTGGTGCGGCGTATCTGCGGCCTCTGAGCAGCAGCTCCCGCGCCCGCGCCAGCGTCCTTCTGTTCAAAAGCAGCTCGTCTTTGCGCCACAGACGGAGTCGACCCTGGCAGGAGGCTGAGCCGGACTTTGCGACGCTCGTTCATCGTGGCTCTCGAAGGAAAAAGCAATGAAGGAAGGGATGGAAGGGCGTTGCGGCGGACAATCGATGATCCGTCGTAATTTTCTCAGAACCTACGACGAAGGACCTCAGGGACTTCAAAGGACTGCTTCGATCGGTTGCAGAGATCAATTGCACTTTTGACGGACGATAGGCAGACAGTTGGACAGTTGGGATAGTCGGACAGCCGGACAGCCGGACAGTCGCGTTGGTGGTTAGTTATCTTGCTTGGGCCGGTCGAGTTGAAGCCGCGGACAGCGAGCAACGAACAACCACGAAGAAAGACGAGCAGGAAGCAGATTGAACTGAGCAGGACTTGACTGGACGGGACTGTTTCATACGCCTGGTCTAGGACGGGACGCGAGATCGATCGATCGATCGACGAGCAGAGTCAGGATTCAATCAATCGGACGCAGGAGCTGGAAATATCACCCGCGCTCTTTGATACCGCAATCAAAATCAGCGACGAACAGCCAGCAGCCAGCAGCTTGACGAGGATCAATCGATACCATCAGGATCGAAAGAGAGGAGGGGAAAAAACGTCCCAAGACGGACTCCCAGCACGATTTGATATCAGCACTCAAACCGAGACAAAGACGAGACGAGGGCGAAACTATCCTTGCAAGCAACACACACACACAACACATCTACCAATTCCTATCAATTCTACCAATTTCTGCTCCTGCACTGCCATATACGTTCTTTTGCAGTCCTCTATTTCGAATTTACCAGAGTTTTCTACGTTGACGCAAGACGAAATGTCCTACTTCCGCATCACCCTTCTTCGGTCCGCTATAGGCCTACCGCGCAAAACAACAGGCGTGCTGCACGCCCTGGGCCTCAAGAAGCGCATGGCTACCGTCTTCTACCCCGTCAGCAGAGACGTGGCGGGCCAAATCATGAAAGTCAAGGAACTCGTTGCCGTGACGGAGGTAGATAAGCCGCTGAGTCGGGAACAGCTTCGGTTACAACGCAAGCCGGATCCAGGATACTACGTTGAGAGGAGGGCGGAGGAAGTATGGCGGGAGAAGAGGGAGGCATAACTACACTACACTGGACTGGAGCTGGGGGGAAATCATGTATTATAGATAGATGTATTGATACTTCTGGGTACGTTGGTTCTTAGGTGTGCGTGAATGTACAATTGTGCAGAGTAATAACGATAACAATAACAATATACACCGACAGCCCGAGGAATATACAAGTTTCTCGGTTTATAAGTCCGTTCATCCAAGACAGTAGATGTGTGCTGAGTGATGCCAGGTTAGTTGAGATAGAGAGTATCGAGGAAGCCCTCTGCGAGACGAAGAACAATGCTCTTGTCCGGAATGCTGCCTGCAACGCCGTACAAGGCCGAGGTATCGCCGCGCTTCTTCTCGACTTTGACGCCCGCAGCCCGTCGCTGTTCGGCCTTGAGCACCTCCTCGCGCACCACAGTGGTCAGATCGTCAATCAGCTGGTCCACGGCGTTGGCGGTAGGCAAGGTAAACGCAACGTGCATTGCAGGAGGCGACTGGAGGGCATTCAAGTGCCAGCCCATATTGGTCATGGCGTCCGCAACATCGTAGATGTCTACCTCGGGAGTGGACGAGGCGAATCCAACGACACTTACCATGGGCTTACCCACGACCTCGAGGGTAGAGCGCAGACTGGGGTTCTGACGAATGGCCCTTTCGAACTTGCGAGCTGCGTTGACGATCTGGTGGCAGCTGTCGATGTAGCCGGACTCGCCGACGGCCATCATGCTGGCCCAGCAGCCTGCGATCAGGGCGCCGGGACGAGAGCCGGCCATTGAGGGAGAGGCGTAGACGCCGCCGGGCCAGTTGGGCATGACGAAGTACTGGTATGTACGCAGCGAGCGGTGGCGGTAGAGCACGACGGAGCTGCCCTTGGGGGCAAAGCCGTACTTGTGGGTGTCGACGCTGATGCTGGTGACGCCCGGCTGGCGGAAGTCGAAGCCGCCCTGGTCCTCGTAGGGGGAAGGGAAGCCGGCCTTTTTGAGGAAGGCGATGGCGAAGGAGCCCAGACAGCAGTCGATGTGCAGGGGGAGCTTGTAGGTGACGGCCAGGCGGGAGAGGGCCGGGATGTCGTCGACCAGGCCATGGGGGAAGTTGGGGGCCGATCCGACCAGCAGCACGGTGTTGGGATTGATGAGCCGGCGGACGGCAGAGATGTCCACGATGTAGTCTGGGGCCGGGCAGGCAACGTAGTGCGGCTTGATGCCGAAGTACTTGCAGGCCTTGGTGAATGCCGCATGGGCGGTCTCCGGTATGATCCTACCTAGCCATTAGCACAGACATATATACAAGTAGAAAGACAATTGAGCGTACATCTCAGGCTCGGTGACCCGACGCTCGGCCAGGGCCTTTTGGCGAGCAGACAGACAGGCCATCAGGATGGACTCCGTTCCGCCGCTGGTAGTCACACCAGCAGATCCGTCCGGCGCATGAAACAGCGACAAGACCTGTCAAGTCAGCATCTTTCCTTATTTCTCCATTATTTTAATTAGGATTGATTGCTCGATGCGACCTACGATGGCAACGACCTCAGCCTCCATCTTCCTGACGCCCGGAAAGATGTCAGGATGGATAGGATTAGAGACGGCAAACCGCCCAAAGGCCTCGGTCTGCAGTTTCAACAGCTCGTCTCCGCCATGGTAGACGGCGCCGCTGACCTTGCCGTCCTCCCACATGGTATGCTTCATGCCGCCCAGCTTCTCGAGCTCGGCCATGACCTGGTCGTTGCTCATGCCCTTCCTGGGCAGACTGACGAACTTGACCATGCCGGGCTCCTGGGGCGCCAGTTTCTGCTCGAGCTTGGTCAGGGCGGTCTTGACCTGCTGGTCGACCTGGGAGCGGACGCCCGGGGCGCGCAGGAAGAGCGAGTAGAAGACCAGACGGAGGTAGACGTAGAAGTTGCGCAGGGTGCCGAAGATGCCATGGCCGCGGAGGGTGTAGAACGAGCGGCGCAGCAGACGCAGCAGGAAGACGAAGAAGACGATATTCCGGGCTCTACGGCGTGTTAGTATGAGGATAGAGGTAGAAGTAGGTGCTATAGGGGTAGGATGGACTTGCATGTCGAAGTTGGAGAGCGAGAAGACGGCGCTGGAGGACGAGCGGGCGAGGGCCATGAGCTTCGCCTGCATCGCCATGGCCGTGGGCAGCGCCTGAGCCATGATGCTTGATCGTACGAGTATCTTTGGGATTATTGAATGTCTTAAGATGCTTCAAGTGTCTTTAGGGTCTGTTTAAGGGTGAAGGGAGGGCGTAGGTAGTTGGATGAGTCTGGGGAGGCAACGAGCGACAGAGACGGAGCAACTGAAGACGCCGGCCCTCCACTGCGCAACCGGACCAGCTGGAGCCCGTCGAGCGTGCGATGGAGTCTCTCCTCTTCGGCGTCAAGGCTGGAGTCGGATTTGCTGAGCGCTGGCGGGCGCGGATGGCGGTTCCAAAGGAGCTGCGGGCGAAGGGAAGAAGAAGAAGAAGAAGCAGAAGCTGCAGGTTCCGAGGTTGAATAATATTATTATTTTGGCGGCGAAGAAGCAGCGACAGTCAACAACGAAGTGACGATCTAGTGAAAGTTGATAGCGGTGGATTGATAGATGTAGATGTAGTTGATGATAGAAGTTATGGAGAGGAAGACAATTTAAGAGCAAAGACGGAGTTGAGGTGAAGATGGGACGAAAGCCGCAGACATGTGAAGAACGGCAGATCCCAGCATTATCAGAGAAGTTATTACAACGAAGAAGTGGTCTATTCTATAGCATGTTGTACAGGGTCAATGGCTAAGGTCAGAGTAGAATCTAGCCGGTGACCTTGTAGATGCACTCGGCCAGACGCTTGACGTTGTCGGAGGTGATGCCGGCGACAGAGATGCGGCCGTCCTTGGTAGCATACACGGAGTGCTAGAGGATGTTAGCAGAGAAGTAGAAGAAGAAGAAGAAGAAGAGACTGACCTCTTTGGCAAGCTTCTCCATCTGGTCTGGCTTGAGGCCGGTGTACGCAAACATGCCGATCTAGAGACGTTAGCACTGGTATATAGATATAGATATAAGAAGACGTACTTGAGAGGTGATATGGCTCCAGTCGTGCTTGCTGCCGAGCTTCTCGAGGTTCTCCTTGAGCAGGGCGCGCATCTCGATGATGCGGTCGGCCATGCCCTTGAGCTCGACGAGCCACTGGGCGTTGAGCTGCGGGTCGTTCATGATGGCGGAGGCGATGCGGGCGCCGTGGACGGGCGGGTTGGAGTACAGCGGCCGGACGAGGATCTTGATCTGCGAGTCGACGCGCTTCTTCTCTTCGGGAGACGCACAAGCAACCGAGAATGCACCTACACGCTCGCCGTACAGGCCCTACCAAAGTCAGCATCCAATCCTACACTCTGCTGGATATACTTTCATCCAGCAGTATAAACGCACCATATTCTTAGCAAAGCTCTGGCACAAGAGCAAAGGCATATCCTGCTCGGCGAAATATCTCAACGCAAAGGCGTCACGATGGATATCACCACTCGCAAACCCTTGGTACGCCATGTCGAAGAAAGCAAAATGGCCCTTTTGCTTCATCACTTCTGCAATCTTGCGCCACTGGTCCTGCGTCGGGTCCACGCCCGTCGGGTTATGTGCACAGGCGTGCAGCAAGAACACACTCTTGTCCGGCGCACTCTGCATGTCCTGCAGCAGGCCGTCAAAGTCGAGCCCGATGGTGTTCTGGTCGTAGTATCTGTACTTTTCGACGGTGAGGCCAGCGTCCTTGAAGACGGCTGCGTGGTTGGCCCAGCTGGGCGTGGGGATGTGGACGGTCTTGGAGTGAGGGTAGAAGCGCTGCAGGAAGGCCGCGGCGACGCGCAGGGCTCCCGTCCCCGAGATGGTCTGGGTGATGGCGATGCGGTCCTGGGCGATGAGCGGGCTGGTGGCTCCGTAGGCGAGTTTGGCGGCAGAGGCAGTGAAGGCCGGGATGCCGGTGATGCCGGCGTATTCCTTGTCGAGGCTGGAGGAGACGACCTTGGACTCGGCGGCCTTGACGGACGGCAGGACATACGGCTTTCCTTTGTCGTCTCCTATACTCTTGTCAATATATATATATATATATGTTGTAGCTTGTAGGTGTAGCTGGTGGACCTACGGTAGGCACCGACGCCGAGGTTGATCTTGTCCTTGAAGGAGTCGGCCTTGAAGGCCTCGGTGATGCCCAGGATGGCGTCCTACAGCAGTCAGCATCGTATTTCCTTCAATTGAGTCTTTAATGAGTCCATTGAGGCTGGTATCTTACTGGAGGCCCCTGGGGCACAGCTCCCCAGGTCGAGGACTGTCTCGTGCCGGCGACGAGCAGGCGTCTGCCCACGACCGCCCGGCCAGCTATCCGCGAGAGCATCTTGAGAGTGATTCTTAGAGCAGAATAGAAGAGATTAGCAGGCTAGAATGCTGTGCTAGCGATGATAGACGCTGGAGGTGAAGGTGCTGGCTGTCTGGCTGTTCTTTTGGCTGGCGAGAAAAAACGCCCTGGAGGTGACGAGGCGCTTGGCTGGGCTGGAAGAACAGATTCGCCGTAGCAGCAGACAAGACATCGTAGACCAGGCAGTGAAGGAGAAGCAGCAGTGATAGTCGTAGAAGTAGATAGTGATGGCTGTAGTAGTAGATAGCAGTCATGGTCAAGTCATGGTCAAGTCATGGTCAAGTCATGGTTGCAGGTAGAGATCCTGACCTTCATCACCATCACCATCACCTCGATCATCACTCTTACTCTCTCTCTCTCTATATATATCTATCTACTCTCTCTCTCTCTATATATATCTATCTACTCTCTCTACTTATGACTTCAACTCGCACTGACTGTAAGACTGCCTCTAGACTGCCTCTAGACTGCCTCTAGACTGCCTCTAGACTGCCTCTGCTATGACTTCCGCCTGTCCCGACCACTGCCTTTGCCTCAGTCCTTGACTCCTCGACATCCTCACTATCAACTCGACCATCTTGCGGTCAGACGAAACAGCCACAGGGTCAAAGCCATCGAAGAAGCAAAGAGTGAAACTATCGTCTCCTCGTCTTCGTCTTCGTCTTCGTCTTCTCTTCTCTTCCTCGTCTTCGTCTTCCGGTCTGAGCGCAGGACATCCGCATATTCCTTTTGCTGCCAGCCCCCTTCGCTGCTCCACGAATCGAGTCACCCCCAGCGTCCGGAGAGGAAGTTGAGAAGGGAAGACTAGGACGCGCCACCAGCATTAGTCCTCGCTGTCAATCTCGTCTGATGCTCGTCTCGAGGGTTCATGGCTTCGCTAGTGCAGTGGCCAGTCGATCCTCGGCTGGCTTCTGGCTGGCTTCTAGAAACAGCCACGTGTGACTATCTGTCTGCAGGGGATTACAGTGTGGTTAAGGTCATGATGTTGAGGTCAAGATGGTCATGATGTTAAGATGGTCATGGTGGTCAAGATGTTATGTGGTTATGGTGGTCAAGATGGCAGACCCTGGCTATATCAGAGATGCTAACAAGTACCAAACTGACTTCTCCAGACTCATCCTCCACCTCGTTGCTTCTTCCGATGAAACGGGCTTCTCTGCTGGCCCGGCCGTGAAACAATGGTGCATCTCAGACGGCTTAGCCACCACCACCGCCGGGCTCGACTAGTGGCGAGCACTCTTCTTTACTTTCACTTTACCTCAATACGATGGAAGAGGAAGGTCGACGGAGAGAAGACAGGACTGCAGAGAAGACGAAGAGAAGAGAGAGTCGAAGAAATAAGCATCATGCATGCGTTGGAGGGTGGACCATCTGTTTCATGCCATCCTTGCCGGCCCTGGAGGCCCTGGAGGCCCCTGGAGGCCCTTGGAGGCCCTTGACCAGCGAGCCCATGCCACGGCGAACAGACTTCCAGCTAGAAGCGCTAGAAGCGTGCGAGTGGCTGCCGGTGGTCTGTTGGCTTGAAACGCGGGATCAGATACAGAACGATTCAGGATATCAGGATAGAATCAATTACAGAGGACAGGACAGGACAGCAACTAGGGATGAAGTCTCTACTCTACGGAGTCTATCTACCATCTACCTATCACTCTACCGTCACCAAGTCAAGTCCAGTCAAGTAGATCAAAGTAATATCATCCCATCCTCAGCTTGCTTTTTCCTCTCCTTTTCTTTCTAGAAGACCAGAAGAACTCATCGCTGACCCTGACTCCCACTTATTAGCTGCTTATTACTTAGCTTAGCGCTCGAGGATCCTCCATCCACTGCGTTTCATCGCCTTCTCTCGTCTTCTCGAAGGTCTTAGCCTGGCTTAATTCTTGTCTTCTTCTTCTTCTTCTTCTTCTTCTTCTTCTCTGGCTTCAAAGACGAGGAAAAAGCAACGCCAAAGAAGCAAAGAAAAGACGAAGAAAAAGCACTGATTCCGGGCCTAAACTTGATCTCTTCTTCGTCTTCTTCGATTCTTCTTCTTCTTCTAAGTCTCTGCCTGGCTGATCTGCTTCTCCGTCGTCCCTTTTATTAAGAATCCTCGTCTCTGCGTCGCTTTTCTTTTCTTTGACTCTTCACGACCTCGACTCGACTCGACTTCATCTTCAAAGACTCAGTCAGTCTCTCTCTCTCTCTCTGTCTATACGGCGAGGATCTCTCGGTCTCCTGGTTAGTCTCTTTCTTTTCCTATTATTGTCATTGTTATTGT